CTCCCAGCAGCGTGAGTCAGAAAGAGGGAAGGGAGCAGGCGTGGAGTGGGTTTAACACAGCCTGTTTTCACCAATCACATCAGCTCCTCTCCTCACCTTTAAATCCGCCACTGGTGAGGCATATTACAATTTTCGTGAAGTAGTGGAAGAGATCAGGAGATGACTGAGGACAGCAACGCCACATGATTGCGACAGGAGGCAGCTCCTGAACAAGTGTTGCTCTAAGCCCTGCGGAGAGAGGACACTCTCTCAAATAAGCACAGAGGGATTTGGTGTGTGTAATGTTGGACCCACTGGTAAGACAAACACCCTTTTCCACAAATAGAGACAATCACATCAAGTTGCATATATTTAAACCTCACGTGACAAAGGTGGGTTGCGCGCACAGATCACAACATAAACAAACGCCAATAATGGCATTCAAATTGGAAACACCAGTGCATAAAGGACGCATCACGCTCCATGGCCTCGCTCTTTCTTTCATAGATGTTGGCTTATAAAATAAACTTTTGCAACCGAATATTATAATATTTGTATGTGGGCCTGACTCCAGATTGAAATTTCACAGAATTTTAAGGATGTAAAAACATCGGACAATTGGGTAATAATGAATGAAAGTTTCTTTTAATTTTTAGGTAAATATTTCATCTGATCACTAAAACAAATCACCTGGGGCCTTATGTATCAACGCTTGCGGCGCTAGAAAACCTTGCGTACGCCAAAATCAGCGCACACGTCCAGATTTATCATCGCGAAACGAGCGTCGGTTCCAGCGCTAATCAACGCAAAGTCAGGAGGTGGTGTAGAAATTGGCGTTGAGCAGATACTTGCGTTGACTGTGATTCGCACTTTGGTGACGCTGTGTGGCGGTGTTTGGTGACTCACTATGTGACAAGCGTGCACCACATCCCCGTGGCCGAGCAGCACGTCGCCCCACATGACGAACCAGCAGCAGACGGAGGGATGCGAGCTGATCCCTGCCGGGCCGCCGTCCTCGCGCGGGAGAATCTCATCGCCACAGTGTGAATGGGTAAGAAGTGAATACACAGTTCAATGAGCCAAATTAATTTATTTTCGCCACCAGACGCTCGAGGACATTTACGAGCCGGTCCAGCCGCTCGTTGTCCCCGCGATCCCCCTGATGATTTCTTCCTGCGATTGCAGGACCCCCTCCGCGAGGACCCTTCCACTGCGTCCGGGTGGTCCAGCGGAAGCGCTGCGGCTGGTGGACACTCCACCGCTTGTCGGCGCGCTGGTGCTGATGCTGGTGCTGGTGCTGGGGCCGGGGGCCGGGGTGGCCCGAATGCCGCTGGTCCTGGCCGACGACTCCGAGCCGGCGGACGGGCTGCCGCGGGCCGGGGTTCCGCAAGCCGGCGACACGGCCGACACATTGATTTCTGTGACACAATAAAAATATTGGTTCATTTCAATTCCTGCTTCTGTGTATCTGTTGCGTTTACATCTCTTTCCACGTTATCATAGGTAATGTAATCCAGTATTTAGAGGTCAGTTATGCACATTACAGTTGTTTATTGCATAAAAAGTTATCGAAAAATGAAGTTAAGGGCGAAGTATAAATCACATCTAAAAATAGACTGAATCCCGACGTTGAAATGAAGTGTAAACTTAGACTATACGTCTAATATACGTCTTTTGCTCAGTGGGATGACAAAGCATGTGGACATTTGTGTGACACGCCACTTACCCTATAATAATAATTGCCACCACCCGCTGCTCAAACGGCGTGAGGGTCTCCTCCCCCGGCGCCCCACCTGTCTGGTCGGTACTCCTCCGGAGGGCAGCTGTACACCACTTGACCTCCACCTTGAGGTCCGACCACTTTTTTTTAATCTTCGCGGGGGTGCGTGTCTCGGAACCCACCGCGTTCACCCTCTCGCAAACTTTCTCCCACTCAAAGCGTTTTTGTTTTGCACTGACGCCACTGGACAGGCTGCCAAACAAAACACGCTGTCGCTCCTCCACCTCGCATGCCGTAAATTTAGTTTTTCTTGTAATTTTGTCTGCGTGCGAGGACAGGGAGACCCTATTTAAATAAATCTGCATATTTATAGGAGGGCGTAACGGGGACGGGCCCAGTCACTCCGACATCTGCGCTCAATTCCACGCTGATTAGGATTTATCAAGGAAACACACGTGGATTTCGGCGCCCGCACACATTGATACATACAGATTTTTTTCATCGTGACGGACCTTGCGTGTGCACATTTCTGGTATGAGTCCCACGCAAGTATTGATACATGAGGCCCCAGGTCAGCCTTGCCGCAGCAGCAGGACAGGGAGAGAGGACACAGAGACATGTCCGGGTCAAGCTGCTCAAGAAAGAAGAGGAAGAAAAAAAGGAGGCGGGGGACCCACTTCGCCACCACACCCAGCTTGGCGGACCTTGGTACACCTCTGTCTGCCAAAATAACAAAATACCTGTGTGCTGGAGCCCGCCAGACGCCAGGCGCGGGGGTGCGCCACCCTCCGCCGCGTTGCTGGTGGGTACGAAAATAGAGGCCTTAGGCTCTTTTAGGTTAGTATTAGTTAGTATTAAACCAGAAGTCTTTCTTTTTTTTAAAATGATTACACTGAATTCAATTTAAATGAGACATAAAAATATAAGGGGGGTGGGAAACATTAAGTTATTTGAGTGTGGAAAAAATTCTACTTCAGTTTATTCAGTCAAAATCAGCCAGTTAGTGTTCCTCACTCATAGCCAATAACTGGTCAGCCTGCTTAAGCATACAACTGGCCACCAAGGTACAATGCTGATCATGTGTTAAACTTCCCTTTTTATCTTCACATCATGTTGTAATCCACAATCAATAATCAAAGACAATCTCTTGATCACTTTTGCCCCTTCAGATAGCTTGTAGTGTCACTCATATACTTTGCATTGTGTGGACTCACTGGGCTCTATTTTCGTGCCACAGGCGTGGCGTAAATCAGGTTCGCCGCACCGACAAGGTGTTCCCAAGCACAATTTGGTATTTTGGTGAGCGGCGCAGCCCGTTGTAAGTATCCCCCCTCCCTAACTCAGCTCCTCCCAGCGGGAGAAGTCGTAAGTCGTAGCGAGAGAGGAGAGAGGGCGTAGAGTGGGTTTAACACAGCTGAGACCTGTATTAACCAATAACATCAGCTCCTCTCCTCGCCTTTAAATCAGCCACCGGAGAGGCGTATTACAATTTCGTGAAGTAGTCAAAGAGATCAAGAGATGTCTGAAGACAGTAATGCCACATTATGGCGACAGAAGGCAGCCCCTCAACAAGTGTCACTGTAAGCGCTGCAGAGGGCATCATTGGCACTGTCTCATATAAGCACATATGGATTTGGTTTGTGTAATGTTGGACCCACTGGTAAGACAAACACCCTTTTCCACAAATAAAGACGCTCACATAAAGTTACACATATTCAAACCTCACGTGACAAAGGTGGGTTGAGCGCACAGATCACAACATAAACTCCAAAAATGGCATTAAAATCGGAACCATCTGTGCGTAATGATGCATCACGCTCCATGGCCTGGCTCTTTCTTTCATAGATGTTGGCATATAAAATAAATTTGGCTCACAAAACTGAATATTATAATATTCGTATGTAGGCTTAAAGTAAATAACTCATCTGAGCACTGAAACAAATCATCTGTTCAGCCGCTGCAGCAGCAGGAGAGAGGACACAGAGACATGTCCAGGTCCAGCTGCGCGAGAAATAAGAGGAAGAGGAAGAAAGAAAAGGAGGGAGACGAATTACATATCTTGTTAACTTCATCATGTGTGTCTATTTACTAGATATTTAATTTAATTTAATGCGGGTTCAGCTGTGTTGATTTGGTCAGGTTGTGTGTCCAAATGCGTGCCAAACGCGCTCATCAGATCAGATATGGATCAGAATATATTGATGTAGATTGCTGACTCAAGTTATTAATTGTTGATGATTATTTATTGCACTGAAATGTGCCTGACACTGTGGAAACCTGCCGGTGAGGCATCTGTGACGTATGCCGATACGCCGCCGGTCTACCAAAATACCACTAGACCAGCTGGGCTCCGCCTGCGCTGAAAGCTGACCAGGTTTGAATCGGCGAGCTTTCAGTGCACTTTATATGCCACTGGCGAGCACGAAAATGTCACTGCGGCAGCAGATTCTGTCGCCACCTCCCCCAGCCACGTCACCACGCCCAGCTTCAGTCCACGAAAATATCACTGCGTGGGGTCTGCCACCCTCCGCCGCCTCACCGGCGGACACAAAAATAGAGCCCACTGTTTCTATAAATCTGTAAATAGACATTTTTTTTCTGTATTAAGAAATCCCTATGCACCAGTGGAACATAGTCACATACAACTTGATTATCAGGAGTGTCAGGTCCCGGGAAAGAACTTTTTAACATCAAACTATAGTGCAAAACTTCAGTTTTGATTGAGTTTTAGAACAAATTTCACACACTGAAAAAAAGTTCTGATGTTCTTCTGATGTTGATCAAAATGTTGTTTTAGCATTTGCTCAAAACTTGTTTTGTTTATTTGTTGTTTCTGGTTTCATTGTTGAGTTTTTGTGAACCAAATGCAAAGTGTGGGCCGCACATTCATTGCTATATTCCATTTGGGGGAGAAGGATAAAGGGGGTTAACGTTATGTTGAACTTCGGTGTCTCCCAGGCTAACACAATTGTTAAAAGGAGAGCCAACTGTTGTCATTGTCTTTATGTCTTTACACCTCACAGAGATTTGTAAGAACAGGCATACTCACATTGCATGTGGTAACACACCAGCTTCTCTTGTTTTGCTGTTATGGTAAAATCAACTATACACAGACACAGCTGCAGGAATGTTGTGGGATTGTTTTATTCATACACTTTTGTGTTTAGCACTTTCCAGATAAAAAGTCACATATTCATAGCAAACCAATCAATTATAAATGCATCGACTGCAAAGTTAGCTTCCTCATTTGTCAAATAAGTTTGAACTGCCTCTTAGACGACAGACTTTGCAAAGATAACCATTAAGGAAATACCACGTTAGCCGTCTCTTCAATCCAGGCCCTGTATTCACAGACCTGCATGAATCCAGCTGGCGCAACACATGCATAGTCACCATCGAAAGAGAAAACATGGACTCCATAGATCATGCCGTTGAACACAACCCCACCACCAGAGTCACCCTGTGACAGAAATGGATATTGTTTTTTTTTTAACTTATTTTAATCAAACACCTTTTGTCTTTAGATGGTAAAATGTGATGATTCGAGATAACTATTAGAGATAAGAGGTTGTTTCTTACTGGAGATGTGTCCCTTCCAGCAGTTCTGTAAAGTGCCCAGTTCTCTTTAGCCTTATTTCTTACACTTCTTGATCCACTGGCCAGCATACATGTTTTAGTGTTTGTTTCATCTCTAATTTGAAGGTCAACACACTGGAGTGTAGGGGATACATCATTAACTGGATAGTAAAAGAAATGAAGAAGTCTTTGGGTTAAGCCATCTCATGTTATATATGCAAAAGTAGTATAACTGAGATAAACTGAACTAATTGTGTAAATCAAACAAATGAGTCATCTCACGTCTCTCATTGTTGGGACCCATCTGTGTTGATGCATAACCTGCAACCTGAACCATGGCACCGCTGAAACATAAAAAAGCAATAAAAGGAACTGTTGATTATTTTTGTCATTCACAACAAAATATGAAGAGGTTAAAGGAAAAAAAACCACAACGTTTTCTATATCTAATGATTTTCCTTTTCAAGGTCATTCTAAAATATCTCGTTCACCAGGACTGTACAGTTTCTTACTCTTCTGACAGAAAAAAAGATAAAAACTCACACAGCAGGTCGATTGTTACAGTCGGGAAGTGGCACAGGTGGAATTGTACATATGGCGTTCTCTAGCTTCAGCAGCATGATGTCGTGCTGCTTCTTGAAAATACGGTACCTTGAAGATCTTGTGTGATTTGTTTTTCACAGTTTGTGCTTGATTTGGATCAGGATGCAAACCTAAAACTGCTTTTATTCCTCTGAAAATAAGGAGAGGTTTAAGTATAAATCATATCATCAGAAAACATTTAGTAAGTATAAGCTTAACATATATGTCAATTAATCTGAAATAAGTTACACTGTCTTACTTCTCCCAGCAGTGAGCTGCAGTCAGAACCCAATTTTCACTGATCAGAGAGCCTCCACAAATGAAATTGTCATGTTTATCAACAATTTTCACATGGTACTGACGCTCATTATTTCCACACATTGCACCTCCAACAATCCTCTTCTCCAGATTCTCAGCTGAGCTCACTGTGAGGCCTAAAAGAGAAACCAGGTGTCCTTCCCTGTAAATCCTCAAATACAGGCCTGATCTTTCAATTGCTTTTACTGCCCAAGGTAACAGGCCTTAATTTGAGGCAGCCTTACATTAGAGACAGGTGAAGTTTAGAGTTGCATCAATTTAACCTTAAGAAAAGTTTCCTAATAAGAATCTAATGACATGATATTAAGAAGACAGGCAAGTCTGTAGGTTTACTAAAACATGGAATAAGTCTCAAAGTCAACCTTGTTACCCCATAGTTCAGCCTAGGCTTAGAGATTTGACTCATTTGAGTCTGTGTATTTAAGGGGATATTCTGTAGATTTAAGTTATGTTCAGTGATCGACTCATCAGGGCTCCCCCACAAACAAGTGGCTACTGGAGGAGAGTGGGTGAGTTGTGTTTAGTCTCTTTGCTAAAGAAATTAGGCAAAATTAAAAAGATGTTCGGTGGTTAGTACTGTGGCTGGGACCCTATATGTACTGTTGATGAAGTTAGGTGCTGTTTTGAGCATTATTTGTGGCTATAGAGTGGCTATTTGGTTGAGGTTTGCGCGTGGAGACATTGACCGCTGTGTATTGCTATCGTGCGGTCATTGCAGAAGTTGGTATAACTAGAGAAGCAAGCAGTCGACAACATTCATCTCTCGAGAGGGTGTCTAACTCAGTGTTACGTTGTGTATGAACATAACTTAAATTTACATATCCCTTTAAGAAAACTGTACAGCAATGAATAACAAGCAAAAACTGAGCAGCAGATTTGTAAAAGATAGTTAAGAACTCACCTGCAAACAGCAAAAGGAGAAGTTGTGTCATGCTGCCCATCTTTCCCTGACTGCCCTGTCCTAATGTCACAGTGGTGCATTTTAAAGTTTTCACCCAGTCCTGATGTTCCTTGATGAACCAATCACATCATGATAGTTTACAACCCAGTCTGTCCTAAACTGTTTGCATGTGCAAACTTTTAGTTACTTATTAAATGGTCCTGCTATTGTACCATCATAAATGGTGGTAAAACATGCAAGTTTCCATAGATGGGCTCTCTCAGACTCAAGTAAAAAATCATTGTATTTTTGGGAAGTTTTGGTTTTTCCAAATTCTATCTGTCGCACATTTTACTTGCATACCCCAAGTTAAACAGAACTTATGTATAATGTGTTACATGTAATATCCTTCACTAAATTTTGTCAGGCTTAATGTAGTGCTGCCTAAGGGGGTCAAAGGTCACAGGCATTGAATGTTGGTTTTGGGCCTTGCTGCTTACGTGCAGAGATTTCTATAGATTTTCTTAACTTTTTGATGATATTATTGACTGTAGATGATCAAATTTGTAAATTCCTGCAGTTGTACATTGAGAAACGTTCTTTAACTGTTGGACTATTTTCTCTTGCAGTTGCTTACAAAGTGGTGAACCTCATCTCCTCCTTGCTTGTGAAGGAATAACCCTCTCACAGATGCTCCTTAAATACTCAGCCTGTACACCTGTCAAAGGATCCAAACAAAGTCCTCAATTTTTCCAGACTTTTGTTGACCCTGAACCATTTTTTTAGGAATGTGTTGCTAATATTAAATTTGAAAAGAGTGAATTTTTGCAGAAAAACCGTTTAGTATTTCAAGTCTTTACAGAGTATTCAGCTGAATGGTGGAAAAGGTTTTGCATATCATTGTATTGTGTTTTTATTCAGGTTTTACACTACTTTATTGGAATTGGGGCTGTGTATGTCAACACAATATGAGAGCTGGCCTGTTGTCTTTCTTGATGGCTAAATATTTTTGTTCAAATACAGACAGAAAACCAGCCCAAAGAGAAAAGTTCCACAATGAAAAGGCAGTTAAGAATTCAGGAAATTTGCAAAGATGTTATTATTGCAATTGCAAATTGCGTTTGCATGATGACATTCCTCAGGTTATTTCCAGCTGTGTGTGTGTGTGTGTGTGTGTGTGTGTGTGTGTGTGTGTGTGTGTGTGTGTGTGTGTGTGTTTGAAGGTGGGTGGGTGTTCGTGCAGAGGGGCTCCGGGGTGGAGCTCTCGGTGTCTGCAGACGGAGGTCTGTAGCGCAACAGTTCAAAACTCACATTGAGCGTAATTCGAACTGGACTCGAACAATGCTGCACCGACGTAAGACCATCAGAGAAAGCAGGAAACGGGTAAGTTACAGTCTCTGTATCTCTCTTTGCAGGTCCACACTCGCCGCATGTGCTGTGTTTCCTGCCCACAGTGCTCAGTGAAGATTAATCAGCAGAGCTCCATTAAGTTCATGTCAGTTACCTCGAAATACTCGCGGTTAGGTTATCACGAATGAGGCGTTAAAATGAGGCAGTTATATGCGCCTCTGTCACACGTCGTGTGTTTTTATTGCGTGTTCTCATTCTTATCAACGAAAATGAAATTGCTCGGACTCCTCATTTAAATAGCATGCAAGGGTTGATTTGAATACCACTATCTTAACGCGATAAACACATGCGCAACCTGACAACCTGAAGGTTTTTAACTAGGCGTATAAACCGCAGTACTATCGACCTGAAATTCCACGTAAGTTCAGGTGATGTTCTCAACAGGTGAGAGGTCTACAAGAGCAGCACCGTCTCTTTCACTCATTTTAACATACATACATCATAACAGCATATGATACATAAAAATAAAGACACGTACATATGTATATATATTGGATTATGTTTACTTAAATGCCGAATTATAAGAGTGGAGGAAAGAGTATGCAGAAGTAAACGTGGTTTAGGAGGATTTCACTCTTGTTCCTTACGAGTGTGTGTGTGTGTGTGTGTGTGGAGGGGTGGAGGGGTATGTCAGTTTAATTAATAGTATTAGAGAGCGTTTTCCGTTGTACTTATAGCTTATTTTAGCTTGGCTTTTCCCATTCCGTTTTTGGCATTTTTTCTTGGGAAACACTTCAGACTTGAAGCACTGCAACCCTCACTCACTCACTCACTCACTCACACACACACACACACACACACACACACACACACACACACACAAACAAACACGCACACACACGAGCAGGTCTTTTTTTAGGGTTCGTGCATTAGTTTACAAATGACAATGAATTTGAGTTTATTTACATGTGTACAGTAAAGCACTGTGCTTTAATATAAGACGCTATAAGGCAAATTGTACTTATACATTAATCACATAAGTTTAAACAGCAATATGGATATTAGTTACGATTAAAAATTAAATTCCAATCTTGTTTGGTTTGATTGATTTAGATTAATTCACTGTCAGAGACAATAGCTCAAAGCTCCTGTGAAGAGTTTGTCTGATGATTTTTATACTGTCTGAAGGCTGAAGAAAAAGACCTGTTTTCACATTTTACTCACGATATACTTTCCCCAAAAAAGCATACATTTGACTGGCAAACATTGGAAGGACTAAATAGTTTGTCAGGAAAGACTGCTCTGACACAGGGGGCACCAAACCTCACATAAAATATAAGTTTTTCACAGGAGATTTAACAGTTTAATGTAATATGCATTTTGCTTCAATTAGGGCTGTAATCAACTAAAGAAATTCGTGGTCGACTAAAACCCTGAAATTTTCGACCAAAAATCGACTAATTGGGTTGGGTTGGGGGAACGCTCTTCAATCTTTCAATCTTTCAGTCTTCCCATCTCCAGCCGGTCAGTGGGTTGGGGGGGGGGCGCTCTGAAAACACCCCCATCAGCACTTCCTGATGAAATTAACCACAGACTGTAAACATATAAAATTTTTCAATACTGCTAGAAAATCTGAATATGCAAACATTTTTTTGAATTATATGAACCTTTTGGTCTTTTCCACAATGGGGAAAAGACTGCTGCGCATTTCCTCAAGCGTCATGCCAAAGCCTAAGATAAACTTCTTGGTTGGTTGGTCTTGGTTGTTTGCACGATATTGTACATATAAACTCACTGGATTTTACTTGCCAACCGAAGTGGATTTGGATTATCAACACAAATGCAATTTTGTATTAAATCATCAATTTTTAGGGATAAAGCTAAATAATTAGCCTAATCTTTGCTAGCTGAGATTAAAATACAAGAATAAAACATTATATTTTTTCTTCCAAAATGGGCCATTCTGCATTCAAACCACCTTCTCACAGTTTTCTTCTGTAATACTTGAAATGTAGTACTTTACCTGCAGCAAAATTTGGATTACAGGTACAGGTACAGTCTACAGGTACAGTCTACAGGATTGTTTGTTGTTTGTGATGTTGATAAGCACTCAAACTTGGCTTCTCCCCCGGGGCATGGCCCCACCAGAAGCTTGTCCATGCTGCTTGTGATGCAGTTGTATGTTGCAATGCGAGAGGACTCCAACCATGTACCCAACTTCTTGTGGAAAAACAATGATAAGGTATGTGGCAAATGTATTTTCAAATGTGTTTTCTGTCCATATGGTGATGTGTATTTGGTAGATGGCTATGCTAATAGCCATGTTATTAACTACAGTTAGCATGGGCATTTAGCCCTAAGTGACTCGTAAACAGAGATTGTATATGATGATTCATGGTAACAACGGAACCTTGTTGCAATGCTTTATTGTCTGTCAAGTAGCCAACAGCAAAATTAGCTCAATATCTCTATGTCTGGACAGGCAGTCTTTCCTCTGGACCACCTGGAGTTTGTGGCTCATGGAGGAACAGGGCAACTGTGGAGGCTGAGCAGAAGGAGACCAGTAAGACCCGGTAAAAATTGGGACAGAGAGAAAGGTTTCCAGCAGCAGAGACAAGCACACACTCAAGGATTAGTTTGGGTTAACTTATGTTGTTGTGTTTCCCCTGTCTCTTCTGAGCTGCTGTAACAGAATTTCTCCCAGTGGGGATCAATAAAGTAAATATTATCTTTTATCTTACCTTAATGTAATATTTTTTTACATGTTACGGGGTATTAAAACCATTATTAAAAATTACAAGATACAGGAACTTTTGTACCCAGTACAAGCTCAGTCATGCACTTAGTGAAAAGTTTCATTTGTGCCATATTTCCCATTTATTGTACAAAATGTTTTAAATTTTATGATTTTGTTTGGTGCTTTCTGTATCACTGCTTAGATCTGCACAGTGTGAATTTCATTTGTCCATTAAAATAACTTGAAATTTCTTAGAAGTACATGTGTTTATACCAATTTCATTCAAAGCAAATCTGTCATATACAAACACCTGTACTTCCACAGGTAGACCGCAGTTGTTAGCAATAAAGGGCATGTGATAAGTGGATGATTTTTTTGTGGTTATAATTTCTGTAGTAGTAACCATAATGATCAGCCTCTCAGAAATGTAGGTTTGTTGCCTGATCATTACGTTTGAATACGGACACGTACAAATGCTCAAAAGTTGGTCCATGTGGGCATCTTTGTGGTGTGGTTTTCCTCACTACTGGATCTGCTCTGGAAGTCCTAAAAAGACATAAACAGAAGGTCAAAACTTGTGAGCCAAGCTTTGAATCACTTTGAATCAAACAGTCCCTTCTTCTCAATGCACATTATAGGCAAAGTATGAAAAGGATAAGATAGAAACTAGTAAGAAAATACACAGCAAGAATATTTGGTCAAATATTTGATAATATCACCTAGTGGGTTATTGAAAAGATTGACAGTAAATATCTTACTGTGACTAAAAGTACATATTTCATCATACAATGCATGAGTGGCTCAGAGTCACCGTTTCGGCCGTGTTTTTGTACACAAAGCAATTAACTAAAATGAAAAATTGTAAACTTCACAAAGGGTTTTTTAGCGCAGGTGATGCTCCATCAGTCCTCCAGTGCTCTGTGCTGGACAGTTGATGTGCTGCAGCAGCCTGAAACAAGACATTGTGATCCACGTTGACCTAATACCTCAACTATCAACTAACAACATAACTATCACTATGAGTGGAAGTGAACCTTAGGTTCACTCTCGTCAAGGAAGAAGCTTCACCAGCTTGGTGTTTTGGCTCAGTGTAACTTTGTATTTTCTGGTCAAACTGATGGATTGCAATCAAACGTGGAAAACACTTCCATCTCTCATGGACCTTTTTTTTTGCCTGCCTGGCTCTGTTTCCATCAGGGGAATTATAGGAGCTTTATTTTGACGGGTAAACACCAGCTCTAATTCAGCCCTTAGCCTTCCTCTTTTCATCGGGACAATTTGTCCTGTAATTACAGCCATTTGTATGGAATATGTGCTCTGTATGCTGTGTGGGAAGAGTTAATCATAGCTAATGTTGTGTTCAAAAGGACTGTGGCAGCACATGACAACACAACAGAAATGTTATTTTCTCTGTGGTTGCTGCCGTTACTGTAATCTGTCTCTTATGATAAAGGGACTCTTTTGAATATGTGCTTGTCTCAGTGAGGACACCTGTCTATTTATCATGGTGTGTATGCATACAATATCCAACCCAAACCACATTCAAAATCGTTCCATGTAAATGTGCTGGTGTGTTTGGCTATCTGGTATTGATCAAACTAAGTGCTACAGTGTGAGCTTTTGTCTGTCTTTGTATTGAAAATGTGTGGCAGCAGGGATGTAGACGTGATCCTAACCTGGAAAATCTGTTAACTAAAGAGCAGCATGGGGAATAGACTCCCAAGGGCAATAAGACTGATGGATCATCAATTAGCTGATGGCGTTTTTCTCCTCCAATTACGCCCTCTTGTGCAAAAGACCAGTCGTTTGAAAAAGAATGAATAAAACAAAAGATGTTGACCACCGTCTGACAGCTAAATAACCAGGATGGCACTTTCTAAAATAAGAACCCACAGCGGTGCAAAGACACTTGCTTAGATGTCGCAATGAAGGTCCCTCTGTGTGTGTGTGTGTGTGTGTGTGAAAGAGAGAGAGAGAGAGAGACAGGTCTTCTGTCTATGTGAGGGGAGTCGGGCTGTTTGCTGTAATGTTCCTGGGACGTGACTGAGCAGCCAATGTTGTGGCTTTTACACCTTCACAATTTAAAACCCTAATACCAAACAAATAGTGTGAAAAGTCTCCTCAATTTTTTCGGCTTTAAGAGCTAAGAAGCTATTGAAAATTTAAGTGGCACAATTTTTATTACTATTCATGATTTGAATCTTTCTGTTCATTGTTTTTGACCTCTGTAGGTGCATGTGCAGCTGGGAGTCATACCTCTGCTGGCCCTGTGCTGTGATATCAGCTGGTGGTGGGAAATAAGGCCGTCGCAATGCTTTGTAATAAGACTTAGTCTAAAGTCTGGCTGCATTGGGTAGAGAGGATGGCAGCCCTGCATTGGCAGAGCTGACAGAATTGTTTCAAGCTACGGACAGTTAAAGGTTCTGCGGGTACTTTGGCTTGATTTGATGCATAGTGCCTTCTCGCTCTATTTTCGTGCCCCCCATTGACACAGTGGATGGTGGCGGACCCTGCGCAGTGGTATTTTCGTCTTGCGCACAGCCAGTTTGGTATTTTTGTAGACTGAGGCGCACCGAGGTGGGCCAACATGGGCGTGGATGCGCGGTAGGGTGAGGTGTTGACAGAATCAGCTGGCGCACTGACATTTCGTGCTTGCCGGCGGCGTGAATTGTGCGCTGAAAGCTCGCCGATTTAAACCTGGTCAGCTTTCAGCGCAGGCGGAGTACAGCTGGTCTAGAGGTATTTTGGTAGACCAGCGGTGTAGTGCGCATACATCACTTATGCCTCACAGGCAGGTTTCCACAGTGTCAGTGCAATAAATAATCATCAACAACCACTATTCAGTGCAACTATCTGAATAAGCACATACATTTAGATCTATATCGATATATTCTGATCTATATCTTATCTGATGAGCGCGTTTGGCACGCGTTTGGACACTCCACCTGACTGAATTAACACAGCTGAAACTGCATTAAATTAAATATCCAGTAAACAGTCACACATGATGAAGTTAATAAGATATTGAATTCGTCTCCCCGCTTATCCTCCTTTTTCCTCACGCAGCTTGATAGGTGTTGTGCCGTAGAATGCACCCCTGCCATAGAGTGCACACCCTGCATCCCATCCACTCATTAGCTTCTTAAAGTGGAAGAAAATGATCTCATATTTAAAAAAAAACACGAGTATTGGATCATGACAACATGTCAAATGGAGCAGCAAACTTTCGTTCTGTTTTTAGGTATTTAAAAAATGCACATACAGAGGTGTACTTGATTATATAAACTGTACAGTAAGCTGTTAAGGTAGAGAACATTATATTTTCGGGGCAGCAAATATTCCGAATCAGAGGGCGATTGTTTTCAGCATATCTGAATAGCCTGAATGAAATAATTAAAGGCACACACTTTTGAATCTATCAAACGGGAATGAAAACTTGGATTAATTCGCCTTGTTGTGAACTTTCAACCGCGCTCTTGTCAGGGGGTGCATACGGCAAGGGTGCATTCTATGGCACAACACCTGATGTGTCTCCGTGTCCTCTCTGCGTCCTGCTGCTGCAACGGGGGCACAGCTGACCAGATGATTGATTTTAGCAATCAGATAAGTTATTTTCTTCGAAACTTTAACTGAAAATTACTTGTTTATCTGTTTTCTCTTACATCATTAAGATTCTGTAAATATTCAATCCAGAGTCAGGCCCACATACGAATATTTAGTTTTGTGAGCCAAATTTATTTTATATGCCAACATTTATAAGAGAAAGAGTCAGGCCACGGAGCGCGATGCGTCCTTACAGGTGGTTCCGATTTTAATGCCATTATTGGAATTTATGTTGTGATCTGTGCGCACAACCCACCTTTGTCATGTGAGGTTTAAATATATGCATCACTTATGTGATTGTCTTTATTTGTGAAAACGGGTGTTTGTCTTACCATTGGGTACAACCTTACACACACCAAATCCCTCTGTGCTTATATGAGACAGTGTGCAGGACACCCTCAGTAGCGCTTACAGCGACACTTGTTGAGGGGCTGCCTTCTGTCGCCATCGTGTGGCATTGCTGTCTTCAGCCATCTCTTGATCTCTTCGACTACTTTTGTAAAATTGTAAAATTGTAATATGCCTCACCGGTGGTGGATTTAAAGGCGAGGAGAGGAGCTGATGTTATTGGTCAATACAGGTCTCGTTGTGTTAAATCCACTCCATGCCTTCTCTCCTCCCTCGCTACAACTTACGCCGCTGGGAGGAGCTGAGTTAGGGAGGGGGGATACTTGTGCCGGGCTGTGCCGCTCACCAAAATAGAGCCCTTTGTGTTTGAGGTTTTTTCCTACCCTTGTAAGAAAAAATTGTGCATCAACCCTTGAATATGCTTCATCCCAATCCTTAGCTTTGGTAAAATGTAGCCACACTTTGGACCTCCTTGCACGCTCAGACATCACTGCAACTGACCAACGGACTTCTTTTTCAGACCGAATGAGCTCAAATGTTATAGATTTTCAGGTTTTGACAAGTGTTTTTATTGGATATTCAATTTGACACAGCTGTGAGACTTGTGAAAAGGTGGCAAACAAATATACATTTTGAAAAATATTTTCAAAAGACTGATTTTGATAGAATAAAATGAGCTCGCATTAAAATCATCAATAAATACCCTATAAGTTTAAGATTTAGGGCTCTTTTTTCGTGCCTCGCCGGCAACGCGGTGCATGTGATATGTAGTTTGGATTTAGTACCGAGAGCTGTTTAATAAACTCAAAAGCTCTGTCACTCAGCAGCTATTCTCCTGTTTTTATCCAGTGTTTCCATAGTCCCCAAATGACTATTAATGGCACAGTACTTCATGACCAACAGGGGTGCTACATCTTAGACAATGTTGACTATTTTTAGCTGTTTACTGTGTTTTTACCAGTTAGTGTTATAGGAGTTTGGTGCAGTTCAGCCATCAGCACTGATGCCTCTTACTGACGTTCACAAACAAATCAGACCCCATCAGTGAGAGGATTGATAGGGGATGAGACTGACAAAGAGATTAAGCCACCTGTGATATGCATATTTTGTATTTTTACCAATATTCCAGAGGCTCCAAATGCAGCAAATCATTTTCTGTGATGTGCAAATTCATCCTGGGTGTTGAAAAGGTTCTCTGACAAGGACAAACCTTTAATTATTTTATAGCAAATAGAATGTGAAAGGCAACAATAAAAGCTCCAAAACACATGCCCAAAAAAAAAATAAAAAATAAATGTTTTTTTTGAAGTCCAAAGCCCTAAATAATTTGCATGAATAAGTACTAAGCAGATTGGTGTTTGGTGTATCGGTGATCTTGTTGCCTTTTTACCACCAAACTTGTTTGTCCAGAGCTTTGGCTGAAAATATGAGGTAATCACACATGAAATCCATAATGTTTTCAGTGATAAGGAGGCAGATTGAACCTGCAATGTAACGCTATGATCATCAAGAGGTTTCTCATGAGACACGAAAAACAACACAACAATGCAGTCAGTATGGCACTACAGCATGTACTGCATTTAAAAAATTCCCAGCAAGCCTGTAATCTCAGTATCTCAAATAAACCCTTGCTTTTCACTGTTGACTTTTTTGGTATTTCAAATTAGCATATACAGCAAACAGCTAAAGTCTGGAGCCTACAGCACTGCAGAGATGTACGTGAGGGAATACTGTAAATACCCATGTGTGCAAACACACACACACACGCACACACACACACACAACACAACACTTACACATTCACACACACACATTTACAATGCTCTGTAAATGTCATTGTTGCCTTTCAATGTGAATGTAAAGAGCACCGCCTCTTCAATCAACATTCATTCTCCCTTGTTTGTCTTTCAATTGCTCCGTACACGGCCTTTTGGGCCTTGTCTTGACCCGGCGTCCCCATAGCAACATGTCCCATGAAGTTTCTCATTGAGGTGACCATAGAAGGGTGGACAAAAGGGGCAATGCATTCTCAGTGGACAGAACGTCTGTCTGCGCTTACTGTGTGGTTTAGAGATTAGAAGGGTTGTCTGCACAACCTGACTGTCAGGAGCAACCTGGGGAGCGTGTGATAATTTGAGCATACTGATCAAGCTCATGGTTTTTATTTACACTTGTAGTGGTCACAGAGCCAGATTGAAACAACAAATTAAAGAGAAAATGGGTCTAAGGTGCCTTTTATCAATCATATTCACAGATTTAGTTTATTTATCTTTTTATATGGATTCCTGCAATAGAAACAATAGAAACAATATGAAAATTAATGCTGTGCATATAAATCTGTCATCTCTGCAGTCAATTAATACTGTTGAAACTGATGTTAAATGCTTTTATTGTGGAGAGGTTGGTTGGTGTAAGAATGTGTTTGATGGCATGTGTTTTGGTTGATAGCACAATAAGTGATGAACACAGACAATGAGATAATTTTCAAACCACTGGATGCACAAAAACAAACAAACAAACAAACAAACAAACAAACAAAATAAATAAAAATCATATTCCTAACAAGAATAGCCACACCAACAGTTAAGTTACTGACTTAAGCAGCACAGTAAAGTGAAGGTTACACTGTAGAGAATTTAGCTGTATTATTCCAAAGACATGAATTGTGTCGTGCAGAATTATGCTTTAATAAGTATACTGAATAGAATATCATAATCATTTTATTCTTTATAAACTAGAAAAAAAAGAAGCAGCAGGTCCTCATTGTGGAGGCTGCTATGTTGCACTGCCAAACCGTAAATATTACAACTTTATTTACTAACGGCTTTGATCATCCTGATACAACCTTAGTGTTAAAAGGACCTCATAAATCTTTTTTTTTTCTTTTTTTTTAAGTGGCCCCCAAATTGTAACTACGACATGTTGGCTTTGTTTAGTATTGCTTCACTAATGTCAGCTTGTGTTCCAAAATAATGAAAAACTCATAATTGGTGTTTTATAACTAAACTATAAACCATATTTATTTAGATTAAATAACCGAAAACAACAATGCAGGTCATGCCATCTTTACTGAGTAGAATCTTTTGGTCCTCAATGGCCACCGCTTCCTCAGCGACAGGAAAGGTTGACAAGAAAACATTCCATTCTAGAATTTTTCAGCTAGATGCCAGCGGCGTAAGTCGTAGGGAGGGAGGAAAGAAGGCTTGGAATGAGTTTAACACAGCCGAGACCTGTTTTCGCCAATCACATCAGCTCCTCTCCTCATCTTTAAATCCGCCACTGGCGAGGTGTATTACAATTTTTGTGTAGTACTCAAAGAGATCAAGAGATGTCTGAAGACCTCTATGCCACATGATGCATCAGAGGGCAGCCCCTCAACAAGTGTTGCTGCAAGCGCTACAGAGGGCGTCCTCCACACTCTCTCAAATAAACACAGATGGATTTGGTGTGTGTAATGTTATACCCACTGGTAAGACAAACGTCCCTTTTCCACAAATAAAGACACTCACATAAAGTTGCATATATTCAAACCTCACGTGACAAAGGTGGGTTGTGCGCACAGATCACAACATAAACACCAAAAACGGCATTAAAATCGGAACCATCTGTGCATAAACGATGCATCGCGCTCCGTTGCCTGGCTCTTTCTTTCATAGATGTTGGCATATAAAATAAATTTGGCTCACAAAACTGAATATTATAATATTCGTATGTAGGCTTTAAAGAGGACATGAAACACACCACACTGGCAGTGTCACGTGGTAAAAAAATCAATCAGGAGAGAGTCTTAAATTTTTTTTGTGTGTAAAAAAATAAGCTGTTTAATAGGAAAACTGCTTTTAAGAATGTATTTACGACAGGCAGCACCATCCTGAGTTTCTGACAGTTGTGACGCCACCTGTTGTGCAGGACAAGAGCGGTGAAAGAACAATTAGTGTACCTGACTCAGTAGCTCAGTAGTAAGATGTCGGAGGATGAGTTTGAGATGGATGTTGTGGAGGTCTATCCTGCCAACCCAATGGCGTATGCTTTTGAGCTGGTCAGTAAGAGACCACGTTTTGGAGGTTGCCATGCTCTCCCTGCGTAAAGTCCGGGGGGAGACTTTGGTGCAGCCCATCAACAGCAGGTAAGCCCTCTGCATTTGTGACTGCGGTCTTTCTCTCTCCCTCTCTTTCTCCACACCTCTTTCTCTCTGTGGGAATTATCATAATAGCTAGCAATTTTGCAATGTAATTGCAAAAATCTAGTCTAAGAATGGTTGAAGTAAAAGTATTCCCGTGTTTCAACATGTTGAAGGCTTTGATAGGAGAGCTATGTGATATCCTTATGAATGAAACGTTTTTCAAACAGTTGTCCAGTCTTTCAAACAAATCAGAGTGCTGCACATTTACTTATTATAATTGTCACCCAAGTGCATTTTCTAATAAGGGCCATGTTGTGTCTACTGCTTGCACAAATAATCATTCATTGTGTCTGTGCCATGTCCTAACTTTTAGGACAATTTGTCTAAGATATTAAATGTGGTGAACAATTGCTGTTTTGTCAGTCTCTTCAGGTTAACTGCTTACAGGCAGTTTAGTCTGTGGGCCAGAGGTTACCTTGGGAGTGGGAACAGAATCCCTATTCCTGCCTGTGTGATCTCCTCCATTAGGGCTGAGCTCCCCTCTGAGTACCATGGCTTTGAATACTGGGGAGATGACCATTAATGTTGGTAAGTCTTCAAGTGTGGTTTCCATTTAGTTATGGCCTGCTATAAAACTATGCATGACTCTATATTAAAGAGATAAGTCAGTTCTCATATTTCACTATGAATACTGATTAAGGGTAACTTGCAATTTTGTCCTCTGTAAACTGAGCAGAATGGTATCGGAGGTTATGTGTTTGTCATATTATTTTTCTTGGGACAGACCACAGCAGCACTACAGCTGCAGAACAAACATGTGGCCAGTAATGCTGCAAACTCTCCAACAAAGGAAATATTCTCAGTTTTAAAGAGAAACACAACTGAACTGTTGAGTGGGGGAAGTGAAAAAATATTTACAATATATGCAGTACATTCAACTTGTCCCTTTTGTGTCCGTCTCATGGCAGTAAAGGTGCAAAGTGACTCAGCTGTTTTGCCACAGACTGAGACTTTTCAGGTCTCTCAACACCTTTGTGCTGGGCCAGAGTGGCTGACTTCTCCATTTAGTGCTGGAGGAGTGCTGCACGGACGGACACAGCCTCAGCCCTGTGCAAAACACTCGGCACTGTGTCCTGACGAAAGGTATAGTCCTTTGCTACCCTCGTTGGTGTCACTACATAGGGCTCTATTTTCGTTCGCGCCGGTGAGGCGGCGGAGGGCGGCGAGCCCCGCGCAGTTGTATTTTCGTCTGGCGGAGCCCGGCGTAAGGCGAGTTTGGTATTTTCGTGGCATGAGCCGCACGGAGGCGAGCCGAGATCCGCCAAGCTGGGCGTGGTGGCGTGGCAGGGGGAGGTGTCGACAGAATCAGCTGGCGCAGTGACATTTTCGTGCTCGCCAACGGCGTGTAAAGTGCGCTGAAAGCTCGCCGATTCAAACCTGGTCAGCTTTCAGCGCAAGGCGGAACGCAGCTGGTCTTGTAGTATTTTGGTAGACCGGCGGCGTATCGACATACGTCACTGATGCCTCACCGGCAGGTTTCCACAGTGTCAGGCACATTTCAGTGCAATAAATAATAATCATCAACTATTAATCTGAGTCAGCACATACATTTAGATCTATATCGATATATTCTGATCTATATCTGATCTGATGAGCGCGTTTGGCACGCGTTTGGACACACAACCTGACCGAATCAACACAGCTGAAACCGCATCAAATTAAATTAAATATCTAGTAAATATACACACATGATGAAGTTAACAAGATATGTAATTCGTCTCCCTCCTTTTTTTTCTTCCTCTTATTTCTCGCACAGCTCGACCTGGACACGTCTCAGTGTCCTCTGTCCGTCTTCCTGCTGCTGCAGCTGAACAGATGATGCGTTATCTACTTTAAGCCGACATACGGATATTATAATATTCAGTTTTGTGAGCCAAATTTATTTTATATGCCAACATCTATGAAAGAAAGAGCCAGGCCACGGAGCGCGATGCATCATTTACGCACAGATGGTTCCGATTTTAATGCCATTTTTGGAGTTTATGTTGTGATCCGTGCGCTCAACCCACCTTTGTCACGTGAGGTTTGAATATGAGCAACTTTATGTGAGTTTCTTTATTTGTGGAAACGGGTGTTTGTCTTACCAGTGGGTCCAACATTACGCACACTAAATCCATCTGTGCTCATATGAGAGAGTGTGGAGGACACTTGTTGAGGAGCTGCCCTCTGTCGCCATCTTGTGGCATTACTGTCTTAAGACATCTCTTGATCTCTTTGACTACTCCATGAAAATAGTAATACGCCTCGCCTGTGGCGGATTTAAAGGCAAGGAGAGGAGCCTATGTGATTGGTGAAAACAGGTCTCGGCTGTGTTAAACCAACTACACGCCCTTTCACGACTTATGGTGCTGGGAGGAGCTGAGTTAGGGAGGGGGGATACTTACGCCGGGCTGCGCGGCTCACCAAAATACCAAAATGTGCTTGGGAACGCCTTGTCAGCGCGGCGGATCTGACTGACGCTGCGCTTGCGGCACGTCTCCGGCGAGGCACCAATATAGAGCCCATAGCCTCCTGCACTTTTGGAGAACTGGTGTTTGAACTGCTCCTTGCCCTCTTTTATTTTAGCACTGGCTCTCTTCACATTGAGGTTATGATCCAGTGCAGCTACCCTCAGCCTGGCCTCAAAACTCTCCCTGCTGAACTTCTTCCGCTTGGAAGCATATTTGGTGTACAGGGAGTGTACACCCTCAAGCTGCCCTGCGCAGAGAGATAAAATGGTATCTTATTTCAGGATTATTGAGACCAAAATAAACAGTTTGCATTATTTAAAAATATTCAATAAAAAACAGTTTTGTTTTTTATTCCTACCTGTGTGAGTGCCCTTCGTAGTTTTCTCCAGTTTTTTCAGAAGCCCCTTTTCTAAAATAATTTTTTGCAGGTGCTCAAAGGCAGCAGAGTTGGGCTTGAGCCAGGGCCGCAGACTCTCCTCTTCTGGAGTGTAAGGATGATGCTCACATCAGGTCATCATCTCTCCACATGTCCAGCTGTGGACATTTGTGATATGGTTGAGGATAGATGCCCACTTCTCCTTTAACCTGGCTGCCTCCCCCTCTACAGGTGCTTGAGCCATACCACAGATGATTGGTTATCATCTTGCTCCACTCATGCAGCTCCTCTTTTTGGGTTACTAGTAATCTTTTTTTAAGATTTTTTATGATGTGCCACAGGTCATACTCATGACATTTTCTTGTGCTCCTCACGTAGGACCTTCTGGACAGATGGGTGGCAATCAATAACAATGGTAGAGATCTGTACACCGGAGTCTTCCATCTTTGTGAGACACCTCTGCAGACCCTTGACCTCCAGCCAGTAGCTGCTCTTGACCTCCGTCACCTTGACTGTCTCCTGTGCCACCACCAAGTCAGATTTGGTGTCCAGAAGGTAGTAGGTGCCAAACGTCGCGCTGTGGCCAGGGCTGTCATACAGGCAATCTCCAGACACAACAAGTAGCTCATCGCATGTTGCAGCCAGCACAGCCTCATTGTGAGTGGTCCACATATCATTGGTTGCAGTATTGAGACATAAACCCTTTGACTGTTGAACCATTCCCTGTTTGTCACTGTTTGCAAATGGATAACTTTGCAGATCTCCAGAAATGAAGAGCCTTCATTTCCAGTGTTAAAGGGGCCATGGCATGAAAAACTGACTTTGTTAATGGGAGGGGGGTGCATATCAGGGATAGAAAACCGCTACAATCCCCCCAAGTTCAAAAAAATTCCATCCAGTCGTTTTTTAGTTATCTCCGTATTTAGGAACTGTGTGCTCAGAGCCGGCCGTTCTGAAAACTCCACTGACATGATGTCATGTCAGTGCTGGCGGGTTGATGGTACTGCCCATGGAGCCGCCCACTGCCCTGCCCAAAAAATGATCAAAACAGCACCATTATTCCCGGCCGCTCGCTTGCATTGCTCCGGTTAGAACCATGGCGAAAGTACGATCTGAAAAAGAGGCGCCGTTTGCTCTGTTGTTGGCTGCACAAACGAGCACAAAACTCTTTTGAAAACTCCCTCGTCTGAGGATTTGAGGACTCAGTGGGTGGATTTTATTTATAATGGGAATGTACCAGCGGCACTTCCAGAATATCTGTACGTATGTGCGCACCATTTCACTTCGGACTGTTTTATCAACAAGCGACAGTTCAACGCTGGATTTGCTAGACGTCTGAAGATAAAGAATGGATCCGTACCAACTGTCCGTGATCCTACTACAACCGTGACATCTGTAAGTGTGAACGTTTTATTTTGACTTACTGTTTAGCCTAAATTCCCCCCGGTGCCTCAGCACGGCCACCACGCTTTGATAAACACACCGGATCCGCGCCGGTTTACCGGATCCTCCCGTATTCTAGCCGCTCGCTTCTTAAACGACCACTCCGGCAGCGGAGGACAAAATCCCCCTCCGGAGCAGCATGTAGCTTTAGCATTTACCCGTACGGCGACGCACCTCTTTTGGCTCAAATACGGGACGTCCCGGCTAATGCTGGATGGTCGGCCATCCTATTAATTAGCAAAGGCTTCAGAGAAGTTTTAGAGCACCAAAGTCTTACATTGTAGCAGAGCTCTGGTTGTATTTTTTTCTACATTCATATCTTCCTCTTTAAGCGTGACCCTCCTGGCGGCTTTTAATAATACATAGGATGTGTCGACTAGGTCGCTTCAAGTCGCGTTTGGTCTGAACGCGGCTAAGAGTTTCTTCCGGAGCCTTTACCTCTGGGTCAGACTCTGGCTCAAACTGGTAGGGTTGTACGAGCGATCTTCTTGCAGCCATGACCGAGCCAGTGTAAACATTAGTACATGGCTATCGGAGCACAGCCACAGCCCCTTCCAGAGAGACGGGTGTAAAGTGGACGTGGCTTAGGTGCAGCTCATTTCATTAAAGAGACATGGCCCAAAACGAAGGATTTTGAGTGGAGCCGTTTTTAGCTGATAAAAAGAGCACTAAAATAATTGATCCAAATCGAATTTTGACCTTAGGACGTCACAGACATGCTTTTAACACACCAGGGGACTATTTTAAGTTGTGTGAAATTGGCATGCCATGGGACCTTTAAAGGTAGCTGCTGGTATGGAGAGGTTACACTCCATCATTCCTCTGACCAGGCCCTGAGAGTTGAAGGTGTAGCTGTGACCATAAATGCACTCAGTTTTGATCTGTAAGCCAAATTGATTTTATTTTAGATGTTTGGTCGCTGAACGAGACACTTGCCTCAACCCTCAAAGTGACACACACAGAAGAGCTTTAAAACCTCTCTGTGAGACATAATGCTCATTTCCTCTGGTGAGACTTGGTGCTCTATTTTTGTGTCCGCTGGTGTCGTGTTAGAGGGTGGCGGACCCCGCGCAGTGGTATTTTTGTCTGGGGGTAGCCCGGCGTACAGCCAGTTTGGTATTTCCGTGGACTGAGATGTCCCTGATTTCCTGGGACAGTCCCTGAATTGGATGACCTGTCCCCGGCAAAAGCTGTCCCAGAAAATGTCCCCGCTTTAAGCGTTTCATAAATGAGAACAAAAAAGTTGCGTGTGGGCTAGAACAACTGTTTTTAGCACAGCTGGTCAAGCAGTTTTTTGGTAGACCGGCGGCGTAGTGCGTATATGTCACCGATGCCTCACTGGCAGGTTTCCACAGTGTCAGGCACATTTCAGTGCAATAAATAATCAACAACAACTAATAATCTGAGTCAGCACATACATTTAGATCTATATAGATATATTCTGATCTATATCTGATCTGATGAGCGCATTTGGCGCACGTTTGGACACACAACCTGACCGAATCAACACAGCTGAAACCACATTAAATTAAATTAAATATCAAGTAAATAGACACACATGATGAAGTGAAGATGAAACAAGATATTTAATTCATCTCCCCCCCATTTCTATCTTCGTCTTATTTCTCGCTCAGCTCGACCTGGACATGTCTCTGTGTCCTCCCCCTGTCCTGCTGCAGCTGAACAGATGATTTGTTTCAGTGATCAGATGAGTTATTTGCTTTAAGCCCACAAACGAATATCATAATATTCAGTTTTGTGAGCAAAATTTATTTTATATGCCGACATCTATGAAAGACAGAGCCAGGCCACGGAGCACGATGCGTCATTATGCACAGATGGTTCCGATTTTAATGTCATCATAGGGATTTATGTTGTGATCTGTGCGCACAACCTACCTTTGTCACGTGAGGTTTGAATATATGCAACTTTATGTGAGTGTCTTTATTTGTGGAAAAGGGTGTTTGTCTTACCAGTGGGTCCAACATTACACACACTAAATCCATCTGTGCCTATATGAGACAGTGTGGGAGACGCCCTCTGTCTTCAGACTTCTCTTGATCTCTTTAACTACTTCCTGAAAATAGTAATACGCCTCGCCGGTGGCGGATTTAAAGGTGAGGAGAGGAGCGGTCCTGATTGGCGAAAACAGGTCTCGGCTGTGTTAAACCCACTCCACGCCCTCTCTCCTCCCTCCCTACGACTTACGCCACTGGGAGGAGCTGAGTTAGGGTGGGGAGATACTTACGCCGGGCTGCGCCGCTCACCAAAATACCAAATTGTTCTTGGGAACGCCTCGTCAGCGCAGCAGACCTGACTTACGCCGCCGCTGGCAAAGCACAAAAACGGAGCCCTTGGTCTTAAGCATCACTCACACTCTTATCACTCATGCTTTCTCCATCACTCATTCTGGAGTCCTCATCATCTTCTGCAAAGCCTGTGTCTCATTTCAGAGACTGCACCGTCGAACGGCGCAAGTGTGCGTGATGTCATCACGCGGTGCGAATGGTGTCCCATTTGGCTCGAAATGCTGAGAGCGCTTAAAATTCGGTCTCAAAACAACACTAACCCCGCCCCTTTTTCAAGCGTGCATTTATGCACGCTTTCGTGGCCTTGGTATCCCAGAATTCTTTGCGTGCTGCTGCACAGCTGTGCATTTCGGGTGAGAAGCTGGACTAGGTTGGAGACACAGCGCGTCTTCAAAGAAAATACAAGAAATCCAAAAAAAGCAGACAGTCAGCTCAGACTGTATGAGAGCATGATCTCTGAACTCACTAAAATCTGCAAACGAAACATTAAACTCTTTAGAGATTAACTGATCTGTCTGCTACCACAATTAAAAACATTAGAAATAAGAAAGATGACAAAACTACAGCAGAGTATCAGGACCACTTTGAGTTTTTCTTTTAAGATTTAGAGATTAAAGTTGTAAATTTAGGAGAATAAAGTCATAAAGTAAATAAAGTCATAAAGCTGCTTTTGTGGAGGGGGAAATGACTGAAGCTGGTCATCTGCAGAGTTATCAGTGGATGTATCAGCGGGTCATTCAGAGAGTTTTTGTGGTTTCTAAAGAAATAATCCAACTGGTGATCAACATTTGAGATTCAGAGGGAGTTGAGCTGCGACAAGCACCACATCTCTGACACCGGCGGTAGAGACAGAGACAGTAACAGAGACACTAGACAGTAACTGCAGAGACACTAACACCTTATTATGGCATATGGATTCATAACTAAAGCTCAATGTCATTCACGGCTATTTACCGCTGCATTGATGGATTTATCCTCAGCATATCCATTTCTGCCTCTACAAAAGCACCGATTTCCTGCAAGTCCAACTGTTTTTTTCCCTGTGGAAAAGATGTATTTCTGACATGTTCTTTTTTAAGTCTTTATACTTATGACAATGTAATGCTTATGTGCCAAAGGATGAAGTATCTCCTTGTTTGTGAAACCTTTACTGAAGCACAGCTCCTTCAAATGCTCTATGGCCCTAATTTTAACAACTCTCCTTTGAAATAACAGGTTACTTTACAACTTTATTCTCATGAAATTAATTACTTTATTCTCATAAATTAATGACTTTATTCTTGTAAATTTACGACTTAAATCTCGAAGTCTTTCAAAAAAATTCTCTATATGGCCCTCATACTCCTTCATACAAAACATGCAATCACTGGATAAATTTTGTGGGAATGATCTGTGCTTGTATGTACAGTGCATCCGGAAAGTATTCATACCACTTCACTTTTTCCACATTTTGTTATGTTACAGCCTTATTTCAAAATTGATTAAATTTTTTTCCCCCTCAAAAATTCTATACAGAATACCCCATAATGGCATAGCAAAAAACTTTATTTAGAACATTTTGCAAATTTATTAAAAATAAGACGGTCAAACGTTGCATATACATAAGTATTCACACCCTTTGCTATAAAACTCAAAATTGAGCTCAGGTGCATCCTGTTTCCACTAATCAGCCTTAAAATGTCCCTCCAACTTGATTGCAGTCCACCTGTGGCAAATTCAGCTGATTGGACATGATTTGGAAAGCCACACCTGTCTATATAAGATCCCACAGCTGACAGAGCACGTCAGAGCACAAACCAAGCCATGAAGTCAAAAGAATTGTCTGTAGACCTCTGAAACAGGGTTGTATCGGCGCACAGATCTGGGGAAGATTACAGAAAAATATCTGCTGCATTGAAGATCCCAAAAAGCACAGTGGTCTCCATCATTAAGAAATGGAAGACGTTTGGAACCATAAGGACTCTTCCTAGAGCTGGCCGCCCAGCCAAAATGAGCAAGCGGGGGAGAGGGGCCTTGGTCAGGGAGGTGACCAAGAACCTGATGGTCACTCTGACAGAGCTCCAGCATTCCTCTGAGGAGATGGGAGAACCCCACAGAAGGACCACCATCTCTGCAGCACTCCACTAGTCAGGCATTTATAGTAGATTGGCCAGACAGAAGCCACTCCTCAGTAAAAAGCACATGACAGCCCGCTTGGACTTTGCTAGAAGGCACCTGAAGGGCTCACAGACCAAGAGAAACAAAATTATCTGGTCTGATGAAACGAAGATCGAACTCTTTGGCCTGAATGCCAAGCATCATGTCTGGAGGAAACCAGGCACCGCTCACCACCTCGCTAATACCATCCCTACAGTGAAGCATGGTGGTGGCAGCATCATGCTGTGGGGATGTTTTTCAGCAGCAGGAACTGGGAGACTTATCAGGATCAAGGGAAAAATTAATGCAGCTAAGTACATCGAAATCCTTGATGAAAACCTGCTCCAGAGCGCTCGAGACCTTCGACTGGGGCAACGCTTCATCTTCCAGCATGACAGTGACCCTAAGCACATGACCAAGAGGACAAAGGAGTGGCTTCAGGACAAGTCTTTGAATGTCCTTGAGTGGCCCAGCCAGTGCCCAGACTTGAACCCGATTGAACATCTTTGGAAAGACCTGAAAGTAGCTGTGCACCGATGCTGCCCATCCAACCTCACTGAGCTTGAGAGGATGTGCAAGGAAGAATGGAAAAAAACTCCTCAAATCCAGGTGTGCCAAGCTTGTTGCATCATACACAAGAAGACTGGAGGCTGTCATTGCTGCCAAAGGTGCTTTGACCAAGTATTGAGTAAAGGGTGTGAATACTGATGTATATGCAACATTTGAGTGTTCTTATTTTTAATAAATTTGCAAAATGTTCTAAAACAATGTTCGCTTTGCTATTATGGGGTATTTTGTGTCAAATTTTTGAAGGAAAAGGGGAATTAAATCCATTTTGGAATAAGGCTGCAACATTACAAAATGTGGAAAAAGTGAAGTGGTATGAATACTTTCCAGATCCACTGTATCTATTGTTTTGTGTCTGTGCAAGGTTGCACAATTCAAAAATAAATGCTGCACTCCACAGCTTTTTTTCAAGTCAGTTGTGACACAAACCTGAGTGCGGGGGAAATTTGGCGACTCAACCAGGAAGTCCTCCGAAGGGTAGTCTGTTCCATTTCACAAAAACCGGACCATCTCATTCAGGGAACTCAAGTCCACATAATGGCAGTGCGCTCAGCTAAGCGCGCTTAAGTGCTCAGCCTGATGCAGTCTCTGAAATGAGACACATGGCCACAGTCACTTAGCATCTCCTCCATGTTGCCCCCCTCAGATCCCGCCATCTTCTCATTCAGCAGAGCTTCAGCTTCAAATTTGCAGCCACTGGATAACTTTGATTCATATTAATTTTGGAGCAATGCATTTCTCTTGTGTACTTAATTGTGAAACTATTTAAACAATAAAGTTGAATTCAATTAAAAATTCAAAGAATTATTTGTTATTCATATAAAGACTCATTTAAGATGCCACTTGTGTTACTGATTACAGATCGAAGGGATGGCGATGGGGTTATAAAATAAGTCTCAAAAATGCATATGAAATTAATTAAAGGATTCCTGCATGTACCTTGTTACTATCATTGTATAGGCTACAATAGGTTGTATCCAAATTTTTAAAAAATGACTTATTTCTGAACAAATGAATCCAGATGTGCTGCAGCAGTCTTCAAATTCCAGACACATCTGGATTGATAAATTGGTCCAATGATCTAAGGTAAGCGATAGAGAGAAATTATTACTGTGGACATTGTAGATGGGCTAAATACATGTTGTTAATTGGGTAAGTTGTGAGATATGTTTGTGCTTGTGTTACTGTCAACCCCTGCTGCTGCACCTCTTATGTTGGGTGATGGGAGGTGGATCAGATGGCAAGTCATGAGCACATGACTATTATTGGGCGACAGGGATATTTATGAGTTCACATTCTGTCATAGCTGTCATAGTTGATCCATATAGTAGTTTCCTCCCTCTGCTGGGCACGCCGACGGCTTCTTTCTTTATGGCTCTCAATTACTTCAGGGCATGTGGAGTGGGAGGGGCGATCTGTAGTCCCTGCACTGTAACACGAAAAGTCAAACAGAGAGGGGACGGCCTCAGGGTTCAGTCTGGTCCAATGAGATGCCAGTGCACCGGTCTCATCAAAATACCTTTCCTCCACGCAGTCCTCAGCCAAAAAGTGCTCGCTGCACAGTCTTGTGTATATGCTAACAGGTGGATCCTGACGCTTCATAGCTGCTAGCCAGCGTTGGAGAATCACTGGCTGTTTCAGTGGCAAATGATGAAAATGCAACGTTTTTTTGTTTCTTACTGTTGAGAAACATGCTTAGACCTTTGTCTATTAACAGGATTTTTAGCAAGGGCAATTCCCTGGTTGTCCTCATATACAGTTGTTTTTGTGTACTGGTAATCATCAATAGCCTCTAGTAACTGCTCTAGATATAAGCACTCTTGTAATGTAGAAGTCAAAGCCGTATAGATGGAGAGCGCAACCGTAGGCTGCTTCTTAATTTTCCAAGAGACTAAAGAGCTGTTATGACTGAGTCTCACACAGTATTCTGTGGTGTTGCGTCTGTCGCTAGCATCAGATGCCTAATCTGCATCACTGTATGCTTGTATGCCTAGCTTCTGACTATAATCTCTATTGAAACTCAAACCCTTTTCAGAAGTGCCTTTGAGGTACCATAGAACATGTTTCACAGTGACCCACTGATCCTCTGTAGGCTCAGCAAAATACTGTGATAACCTGCTTACCAAAAAGCTTAAATCTGTTCTGGTACAGGTAGTCAGATAGATTAGGCTTTCTACAGCATTTAACTTCTCAGTTGCTTCAAAACTTCTTAGCTTAGTCTTGAAATCTGCAAATGTGATCTTATCCTCTAAATGTGCCACATGTATTGCGAATGGCTTAAAACTTTCAGGCAGTCCTTTTAATACCATGGCAACAAGTAGTCCAACTCCCATCGTCTCACCTGCATTCCGCAGTGCTGTGATGGATGTTTCTGCTCTGATGATATAGTCTGTCACACTTTCATCTGTCCCCTTCTGAAGCGACGTGAGCACAGTGTACAGGTTGATTATCCGTGGTGTTCCCTTCCCAGCATAATATTCCTTTTAATATCTTCAGAGCCTTTCTTCCATCATTGGGTGCATCTCTCATGATGAGCGAGAGGCTTTTGTCATCCAGCCTCTGTATCAGCTCGGCGAAAGTGTTGGCTCCCCTAGCACGGTCTTCTTTAGTCCCAATAAAAGGAAATATCCGAGCATTGTTGTTTTCCATATCTCATACTTTGCTTCATCTCCAAAGACAGTCGAAGTGGCCTGCTTACTGCTCCTCGATCCATTTTGCTGCTGCCACTGTTTCAGCCGGTTAGCAGTAGTCATTTGCTCAGCTGTTAGAAGTAGCTGTTAGCTCACTGCTCCTCTTCATTGGTTTTTATTTTATCTCCTGAACATTTTCTGGGCCCATAACCTGTTAAGATCAGCTTTCTCTTCAGTGATGCATTTGGGGGAATGATGATGAGATGAATTATTTGTTTTAGCCCAAATGAATGGCAAGTTCATTCGCTGGCTGCACAGAGAGCAGCCGCTTCTCTTGATTAACATGAACAGCACAGGTGCACTCGGCAGGATGTGACATCATAGAATGGGTTATCACATTGACAGGTATACAAAAATAAGTATCACACCCCACATACCACTCAGTACACAAATAAAGAGTACATCACAGCATTACATAAAATGAGGATACAAAATAAAACTGTCTCTTAACACTTAAGTTGTAAAATTGGTTGGAGCAGCCGGGCGCAAAGCAAAATACCCCTCCTCTAGTGAGTTTACTCGTCTTTGGGTTTTCGATTCGCCATATTAGCCATCCTAATCTGCTCTCATTCAATCAATACACGGGCTACAAAACCGATGATGTTACGCGAAGTGGCACTGCTTTACGGTTCCCCGCAGTGTCGCAAAAGTGGAACTTCTGTCACAATTTTTTAGAAATGTATTACATTTTGAGAGTCATGAATACAGTAATTTGTGAAGTCGAGAGGCATTCTTAAAAAAAAATGATAACTTGGGTCAGTGTTTCATGTCCTCTTTAAGTAAATATCTCATCTGATCACTAAAATAAATCATCTGTTTAGCCGCTGCAGCAGGACGGGGAGAAGACACAGGCACATGTCCAGGTTGAGCTGCGTGAGAAATTGGAGGAAGAGGAAGATAGAAAAAGGGGGAAGACAAATTAAATATCTTGTTAACTTCATCATGTCTGTGTATTTACTAGATATTTAATTTAATTTAATGCAGTTTCAGCTGTGTTAATTTGGTCAAGTTGAGTGTCCAAACGCATGCCAAACGTGCTCATCGGATCAGATATAGATCAGAATATGTCTGTAGATCTATATCAGGGGTGGGCAATCATGTGCCATGGAGGGCTGAGAGGCTGCAGGTTTTCTTTCCAACCCAAAACTCCACCAGGTGATTTTATTGATTACCTTACCTCCAAGTAGAGAGCAGGGACTAATTGGTGAAATCACCTGGTGAAATTTTGGTAAGGAAAGAAAACCTGCAGCCTCTCAGCCCTCCATGGCACATGATTGCCCACCCCTGATTTAATGTATGTGCTGACTCAGAATATTGGCTGTTGTTGATAATTTATTGCACTGAAATGTGCCTGTCACTGTGGAAACCTGCCGGTAAGGCACTGATGATGTATGCGCACTACACCGCCAGTCTACCAAAATACCACTAGACCAGCTGCGCTCCGCCTGCGCTGAAAGCTGACCAGGTTTGAATCTGCAAGCTTTCTGCGCAGTTTTTACGCCACCGGCGGGCATGAAAATGTCACTGCGCCAGCTAATTCTGTCGACACCTCCCGTGCCGCGCCACCACGCCCAGCTTGGTGGAGCTTGGTGTGCCTCAGTCTATGAAAATACCAAACTGGCTGTGCACCAGGCTCCGCCAGACGAAAATACCACTGCACAGGGTGCGCCACCCCCCGCCATGCTGCCGGCGTGCACGAAAATAGAGCCTAATGTCAGAAGAAAACATAGACCACTAAGGATTTATCCATCATAAGACAGACCAATATCTGACAACCAATATATTGACTGGGATTGATAGGACATAATTGTTTATTGACAGGATCATACGATTGTGTGTATGTGCATATTTTAAAGTTTAAAGCTGCTCAGGTCACCTGACAGTAGCAGTGTTTACAGGGAGCATAATGTTCTGAGGAAACTTTAGCATTATCTCTGACAGCAGCACTGACTGAGAAGCTCTGAGTGAATAAACGCTCTCTTTCCTGACTAGCAGCATGAATTTGTCATTAGGAGTAGTTTGTCAGTTATGAGCTGCTATAGAAAACACAGCGGCGCAATACAGCTGCCTTCAGAACAAAGACAAGTAAAATAAAATGATAATGATATTCTATTCAGTATTAATAAATTAAACATATTTCTGCATATTAAATTCATTTTTAATGTACCTTTAAATGAAAGCATCGAAACCCCCCCCCCCAAAAAAAAAATGAATAAATAAATTAATAATAATAATAATAATAAAAATAATAATAATAATAAAATAAAAAATCCCCTTACTCTTCTCTTCTTGTCATCTCTCACCTCTCCATGAGTGTGTTTAAGTCAAGGTTGGAGAAAACATGGCTCTGTTATTTTCTCTCCGTAGGTCAGAGCGTTGTGTTCCCAGCTGAGCACCGTTTATTATCCCTCGCTCTAGGGGGTTGAGGGTGTGCCTGGGTGCTTCATGGTGGTCATTAAATTGCCACTATGGCCGTATAAACAAGTCTAGTGTTAATAGAGCTAATATGTTTTGTTTTTGTTCCTGTGCTGGCTCGTTTTTGTTGTGATGGGAGGACGGTTGTTAAGTTGATAAGTAGTTTAATATTCCACAACTGCTGCTGTGAGCCGGACCAAACTTTTTAACTTTCAGCTGCTGTCAACATCATGATGAGAAGCAGTCATTTTGAGTCTACACCTGCTCTTTAAAAAGGTCCCAGTCATGTCTTTGTTTCTACATCCTGCTATACTTTTGGAAATGTGCATAATCACCATTCAGCAGAAGGATGGATATGACTAAGAGCTGAAGAGCTAAGTGACCATCAGGTTGACTCAACCTGGCTCAGCACAGTAACACTGGTGCCATTTAACAGCTGTTTGAAGTTAATCAAGTTCTACCATTATCACGCCTTTGTACTCACACATTGGGCCCTGCACCGGTGTCGTAATGGTGTACATGAGAATGATTTCACATCGCATTATGGTGTTGCAGAAGCATGAAAGCCACACAGCAGAAGCTCAGCATACACACACTCAGGCAGGCATACTGTATGAACGGAGTGTTATCCATCCTTTCCAGCTCCAGGGCTACACATCATTACCATATCCCCCAATAACACCACCTATGATCTGATCTGATGATCACCTATGTAGGTGGGTGGAATAGTGATGGTACACCCTTACCCCACTGGTACACCTTTGTACATTACATGTTGCTAATTAGGCATAACAGGGGTGCAAATAGAGCCTGAATGAAAAGGGTTTGTTGAAGCAGTTTGCTGAATCAGACTTGTATCTGTTTCTCTTTTGACAAAAAAACTTGTATCCAACTGTAAATAATGAATACATTCTTTTTTCAAATACAGGCTCTGTTCTGTTTCCGACTTTTCAAAATCAGAAACTGCAACTATTAGATGTGAATGTAGTCATGGTGATTGGTTTGAAGCCCCTCAGCAGCAGTTACTATAAAAAAATGCTGACTCAACATCACTGTACATCCACTAAGAGGCAACCTTTTAAGTAACTCTAATATCTCTAAAACAAATATACACTCTCCTTACAGTGGGTGCTGTGAGAGAACTAAGGTATCAGACCAAGCTTGGCTTTATACATGTTCTTTTTAGCTCAAAAAATAGGCTTGTTAAATGAGTGTGTATGTGGTTTTCGGTGCTTCTGCAGCCAGCCTTAAATGAACACTCAAGGAGGTGCAATTTTGTCACATTTCCACATGGTTTTATTTCTCAAGATCTGAGGGTTTCTGCCTGTTCTCAATACTTCCATACAGCCAACTTGTTGTATGTATTTTGCTATGCTGTATTCACACAGTAATGTGAACAATAACAGAAGTGCTATATTCAGATATCAGCAATATCAGTTAAAACTTGGTCTTAAAATGATGATGTGCCCTCAAGATAAAATGTGAAACTAGCAAACTCTCCTTTGCCTTTCAGGACTGTTAAATTGTCGCTGATGGGATCAGATCCACACTTTTTAGCCCGTGATCCTCATTGTCTCCATGGAGCTCATTCAAGCCACCCAGGTTTCTTTGCTGCCTCAGGAAGCCACTGCCACCTGGAGCAACAACTCGAGTTTCCTTCACCCCCATGTCCTGCTCCTCTCCACCCCCTCTGAACCACCTCCGGGCATCAGTGAGAGTGACGGCTCCTTACTTTTCAACAGCACCTGCCAAAACTGCACCAATTCCAAACTAGAGTCCCTTCCTGGCCTGGCAGGAATCTTCATCCCTCTCATCTACGGGATAGTGTGTGTAGTTGGCCTTGTGGGGAACACTCTGGTCATCCACGTGATCGTCAACTATACCAAGAATGAGTCAGTCACCAACATCTACATCCTGAACTTGGCAATTGCAGATGAGCTCTTCATGCTGGGCCTACCCTTCTTGGCAGTGCAGAACGCTCTCCTCTCTTGGCCCTTTGGCTCACTGATGTGTCGCGTGGTCATGACAGTGGATGCCATCAACCAGTTCACCAGCATCTTCTGTCTGACTGTGATGTCAGTGGATCGCTACCTGGCGGTGGTGCACCCAATTCGCTCCTTCTGGTGGCGGCGCCCCCGTGTGGCAAAGGCCATCAGTGCCACGGTATGGGCAGGGTCCTTCGTGGTGGTCTTGCCTGTGGTGGTGTTTGCTGATGTGCTGAAGGATGATGGGAACTGCAGCATTGTGTGGCCTGAACCAGCAGAAGTTTGGAAGACATCTTTTATTGTTTATACCTGCACTGTGGGTTTCTTCTGCCCCCTGCTGGTCATCTGTTTGTGCTATCTGCTGATCGTAATCAAGGTACGACATCAACAACCACAAGAATATGTTTCTTCTTGAAATGGCTCTGTTCTTTCGCTCTAGCAGTTAAAAAATAATTTAGTGAGTAGCCTGCTGTGTAAATATTCTTACAGGTAGAGTCTGTAAAAATGGAAACAAAGAGCAACATCAAGCAGTCAGATTCTCACTATTCTTGATTGAAATGCTCCCTTACTCACCCCTGGTGGCCTTTGAGGACAAAAAGCTCCTCATATGCGTATTTAGCAGGATCCTTCATTTGTCAAACTTTTACCATCAAAAGCATCAATCGAAAGAAATAACTCAATATAAAAACAAGTGTTCGTCTAGTTTGTCCATTCTGTGCCATGGTAGGAATATGGTGGTGAAAGAATTTAAAGGCAAAATGTCACATATTTACCAAGCTTGTTTTGCTAAATAGTGCTGAATACTACTACGTGTGCCTATTAATCATATACTTAAACACAATTTTAAAGTATGTCCATGTTAAGGAGGTAAACAAACTCAGTAATAATGAGGTTTGTGGGTCTGTGTTTCCAGTGTGTAGTATTTAAAGGGGACCTGCCATCAAAAATGTAATTTTGTGTGTTTTTGTGTCAGATAAGGTCCATACTATGTTCGTCTTATGTTGTAAATGTGAAAAAAAAAAAAACGTTACGTTGTTTGCATTCTGTAAAGGTTTAAAATAAAGAAACGGGGTAAACCAGGCCAATTGAAAAAGCAGGTCCTTCTGACGTCACACTGACCTTGCTCATTATTATTCATGAGCGCGTCCTCGGTGAGCCGCGCCCACTCTCTCGTTCTCGTACTCATTCACAGTCAACATCACTCTCCAGCCAGAGCGAGACCCAGCTACCACTGTATCCACTATGGGTCTTTTCCAAACAACCGGTGTTTCCTTCGGTTCACTGCCGGGAAAATGAAAAGCTGGGCAGAATGAATGAAAACAACGCTGGAGATCTCCAGCTTCTTCTTCAACTTCCACCTCCTCTTCGGACTCAGGGTCTAAAATATATGGTTTAATACCTGCCATTTTTAGCCTTTAGCATAAGGTGACCAGACGTCCCCGATTTCCGGGGACAGTCCCCGTATTGGATGACCTGTCCCCGAAAATGTCCCCGATTTAAGCGTTTCATGAATGAGAGCATAAATGTTGCGTGTGGGCTCGAACACCGGTTATTACAATAGCTGAATAGGTAGGAAGCACAAGTAAGCAGTCCTGAACAACAGTTTTTAAGGGGGTTATTACAAGGGGCATGCGCTGCTACTAAATAGTACCGAGATGTTGTCTGTGATCACACAGTCCCTGCAGCCCCTGCACCCACCGCCGCCGCCGCCACACCGAATATCCCCGGATATCATTACAGACATCTGGGCACCTTACTTTAGCACACATTAGCAAAATGGATAAACCAAAATCTGAACCTCCACTGCTGAGCCAATCAGAGCACAGCAGGCTTCACAGCAGCGATCCAATCAGAGCAAAGCTCATTACCATAAATGTTAATGAGCCAAAATCAGTTGGTTTTCCTGTAAGGTTTTTTAGGCATACTAAAACAAACCATCAAATAACTTTTCAGCTAAAATTATGTTGCAAACATGATCAGAGGACATTAAGGATTATGAAAAAATGATAAAAATAAGTATGAAATTTTGATGGCAGGTCCCCTTTAAATGTTGGTATGTGTGTTTGACACTTTTTTTTTTTACCAGTCTGAAGTCTAATGGGTAATGCAAAAGTAATTTTGCAAACATCCTACATGACCACTATTGTTAATTCTTCAAACATGTTTTCCGTCAAAATTTTGTCACGTTGTTTTGGAGGATGAGTTAAATCTCTACAATACCCATGAGCCTCAGTTGTTATTGGCTTAAGGAGGCCAACCAGTGGAGTATATTCAAATATGAGCATTCAGCAGACGAAGCTAATGCCATATATTTGTCGGTTTGGGCTCAGTTCCAGCCTGTGGCTCTTTTCCCACACTACTCCCTACTGTACTACCCTTTTAACGGTCCTGACCTCTCAAGAAAACAAATGACAGAGATACAAAAAGCCTAAAATAAATGTTAAAAAAGCTTGTGGATCTTGGATCTGTGGACTGCATAGTGAATCTAGGTTTGACTCAGAACACAAAACAAAGTTGATTCAATAGAATAAAAATTAAAAAAAAAGGTAGGTTTTGGGGGTCTGGTCTCAGAGGAGCTCTAAGCTACTGTTTCCCCTGTCTGTTAACTACTCTAACTGAAGCTGTTAACCCTCTTTTTGAACAGTACATCACAGGATTTAAAGCCTGATGACCAGCTGTTTATCAGAATTAGAATGGGATTTTAAAAAGTCTCAAAGGGTTTTCAAGCCGTTGATTTCAGAAGGGAGAGTGTAACATTACCACTTATGGAAAATTCTATCATGTAATGCAGCAGAGAAGCTCTTTAAATCAGTACCAGCTTTCCTAACCAGCTGCTTTAATGCTGTACTAAACACAAGTAGTCTTTGTAATGGTATTGAACTCTGTTATTATCACTAATGATGTTGGTGGACAGCAATAATGAAGCAACAACTGCACAGAAATAATTACACTGTGCCAGAGTTATGTTGTGATTCTGTGGGAAACAGAGAAAACGTCCACCCACACCATCACAGCCCCTTGATCCATTGCCATAAACACAAAGAGTAAACTAAGGATATTCTATAGGTGATAATCAACTTTCCACAGGAATACTTCAGTTTCGTACCTGATGGCAAATATAGTTTACATGAGTGTAATCCACGAGAGATAATCAAGAGAGACTGGCCCTCATTTATCAAGCTTGCGTACGGCAGAAAACTTGTGTACACCTTGTGTACGAAAATTTTGACGTGAGGATCGGCATTTATCAATCTGCACTTGAGCATACGCTACGACCAAATCTCACGACAGGTCTGACATCGTGTACGCACGTTTGAGTCAGTGTGGATCTGCGGTGCAGCAAATGTCTGTCTCAAAATAATTGATATACAAACCTGTCATTAAGCACAATCAGCCAGATTTCATTAAAGATTAAGATGTAAATAAAATAAAATAAATTTGTTATGTCCTTAGTGAATAGGCCCATTTGATAACTCTGCCCAGAAATACTGCCACAGAGCAGGAGCGCCTTTTCAACATTGCGCACACACGCACACGGGGACGTTGTTGTACACTCCTGAAAGGGTGTGGGACATCATTTGGGTCAGTTCAGTTTTGCACAATGTTGCACTGGCGAATGGAGTGCCGTTGGCTGTGCCGGTGCAACGTGAGGACCTGATGCCCGGAGAACAATAACAAGGAGAGACTCCACAAAGGTGCTGTACAGAGGAGACAGGACCTTATTGATGGATTCTGACATGTAAAGTATATGTTTAGAAAGTGCTCTTGCTATTTAATCAGTGATAAAAATCCAATAGAAATCCATAAAAATGTGCCTCAGGGGCAGCAACACACCGTTAGGTGAGGTTAATAATTATTTTTGTTCAGCCTCTGTCAGACTCTCCAGTCTGCTCTACATTACAAAGACGCAACAAATTAAAACTAAATACTTTCAATAATAGGAGCAGCGTACCCTTTGTCATGGCAATAAAAAAAAATATGAAGCATGTAGCATATGAAGCATCTTATTGACTAATGATTTATTCAAACTTCAGCCACTGTCCGCTATTCCGCGGCAGCGCTGTTCACCGCCACCATAATCCTGCTCCAGACAGGAGTTTTCTGGACTGCTTTCATACCAGTTTTGATGCTTCCAAAGAGAAAACCCTTGTTAGTTTCCACCACAGATGTGAGGATATCCACTTTAAACTCGGAAAAGTTTAGAATCTTTCTAATATTTCTCCTCTTTCATGTTTGACCTCAGTGGGTGAGGCTTCTGAATCACAAATATTTAAGGGCGTAAACATGTTAATGACGATCGATTTCAGCCGCCGCATTTATCAAGACCCGATCATACGTAAACTGGGATTGGTCAGATATGAACCCTTTCATAAATCTCATGTGTCCCATCGTAGGATGAATCCTGTGCTCAGATGTGCACTCAGATCTGCGCAAGCTTGATAAATGAGGGCCACTGTCTCTCAGCTGGCCTGGGAACACCTTGGCGTCCCCTGGGAAGAGCTGAATAAAATGGCCAGGTAGAGGGAAGTATAGTCTTCCTTGCTTCGGTCGCTGCCCCTGCGATTTGACTCCAGATAAGCGGTGGAAATCAGAAAAAACATGCACACTCAAAATACCTTTAGAAAAATTAGAGGTGCACGTCCACAAAACGAAAAAAAAATGAAGAAAAGGCCAGCAACGCTTGTTTTTTTCGTCAGATTATATTTTTAATGACTTACTTGTATAGGCGCTACACAGACCAGTTTCGACTAACAAGTCCTCTTCAGTGTGAGTGCTGTTCAGTGGGCTGTTATAGTCGTGCTTTTTTAAGTGGATGATAAAAAGTTTTTGTTTTACGGGTGAAATTACTTGTTGACACTCAAGGTGAAACAGTATTGCTTTTTCTATCAGTTTTCATGCACAATTAAGTTGAGCCACAGCTGGACTACACTGGAGTGCGCACATTTCGATTGAGCTGTATACATACAAAAGACAGTCGATCCTTAACTACATTATCCAGGTATTTCAGTCTGACTAAGATTAGAAGAACTTTATTCATCCCCAGGGGAAATTCAAACTGCACTCTGAAGATTTTGATGTCATTTTTGGACTTGATACCACAGACAAACAGTTCCTGTGAGCAAGTCTGATCTACTGACAGTTCAAAACTAGACTTCATCTACCTTTAAGTTGTGTTTCCACTGACCGAGGGTTTCAAAATGTTTCTACGTGAGTGAGGTATATTTTTGTCTTTTGAAGGAATATAAAACAGTGTTTCTCCCTAAAGGTACGCAGCGTTGGAAAACGGGCGCAGGCTACGTCCTCAAGGCGCAGGAAGTCAGAGCGTAAAATCACCAGGATGGTGGTTGTAGTGGTGGCCGTGTTTGTCCTTTGCTGGCTGCCGTTCTATGCTCTGAACATCGTCAACCTTCAGATGGTCTTACCTGGAGACTTCAGGGGGCTCTACTTTTTTGTGGTTGTGCTGTCTTACGTAAACAGTTGTGCCAACCCAATATTGTATGGATTTCTGTCTGACAACTTCAAGAGAGGTTTCAGGAAAGCTCTGTGCGGAGCTTCACGGCGGGTTAAGAACAACGACAGGGCTGGTACTGATGTGCAGAGACCTACAGAGGAGTTGGGCGGCATTGCTCTTCAAGTTCAAAAAAGTGATGGAGTCACAAATACACCAGGAAAGGATCCTACTGATAAAGAGGAGGAAACAGACGAGGCCATACAGATGAAGGAAATACGCAAAACGTCAGAGAACAGGAACTGCAGCAGAGAAACCGAGGATTCAAGGACACAGGTTGTGCAAAGGGGCAAGCCAGACCTTTTTGGGCAGAGTGCCAAATATGGAGACTCACCTGAAGGAGGACCAGACTTGAATCATGCAGAGGCAGAGTCCTCTGTGGCGAGTAAAAGTAGAAACAGCAGATCACAACCTGAAGAAACTCTGAATAAAAACTCTGTCCTGGAAATCAGTTATCTGTAGGCATGATGTGATGTTTACATGTTGTTTCGTTGGCTGTCATATTCAGTGTTTTATGAAATTAATTACTGCTCTAAGTATTACAGGGAGCTGTGGATTACAGTTGAAAGGTGGAGTTTTATAATGTGAAAATCTTAGAAGTTACAGTCATATCGTTTTTTTTTTTCCTTGGCTGAAAAGTTTGAATATGTTATGTAATAGTCTTAAGATATTAATACAATATGCATTATGTAACAGTCTTCAGATATAAATACAATTGTTCTGGCCAAAGTGTCAGATTGTAAAATTAGAGTACATCTGAAAAAAGGACTGGTGTGATGTACCCACACTTAAACCAAGGAAATTTAAATACACGTATCATTAAAAAATAACAGCCTGCAGTTCAAGACATGCAAAGTTGTAAAGATGAGCGACTTTTAATGGACAGGAACCCCCCCCCAAAAGGGTCATCAAAGATAGTTTTAGCTTGTATATCTATTTGTCTACCATCTTTTGATTGTGGTGATTACAACACTTTCAGCTTTTATTTTGGGTGAAATTCTATTTGTGTTTCTTGTATGGGGTTTGTGTCTGTCTTCTCTGCACAGAGATCAGGCGGTTCCCTCCTGCATGGGATCTCCCTGCACACTTACACCTGCACTGAATCAGCTCTTAAACTCTGCTCTGATGCCTCTCCGGTGCCAGATTATTCCCACAACTCATGTGGTACATCGGCTGTCTCTGATGGAGTTCTCTCATGTTTTGCTACTTGTTGTACATCTGCCCAATCAAAAACACTGGTGTCATACCGTAATAATGGCTTATGCTCTGAATGAATCATACCCCAGTGGGAGACAGAACACCTAAGGACACATTATGAAATAAAAAGAGTAATTAAAACAGTTCTTTTCTGTGTTAAAATGAGCCCACACAGGATAACATTTGATCCGTCTTTTGAGTGCTTTTGTTCATCTTGTGCCTGGATACATTCTGCAGAGATGGACTTTAATATTTATTTTTTTATTTTTGGCTCCCCATTAGCTACTACCTAAATAGCAGCTACTCTTCCTGGGGTCTGCAAGAAGACAGTAAACATTCGTATAGGTTACAATGATAAAAGTCCAAACAGCAGAATTATACAAGATGTTAAAATCACAAGTAAAACAAAAGTTATGATGACATTACATTTGCAATTAAAATAGACACCAATAAAGGGCAAGATAAATCTACTAGTAATCGAAATCTTATTGGCGTGTATTGTATGTGGTCACAGGCTGGTGTAGGTGTTCTGTTTCTTATTTCAGTGTGTCTGGGTCATTAGATATTGGTATACCTTCTTTTTAAACACACGTTACCTGGTTAACCTTGTGATGACGGATGGAAGACTATTCCATATTTTCATACCTCTGAACATGACAGTACGCTGTCCAGAGTTAGTATTGGTGAATGGAAGTGTGAAATGACCACTTGATGCATGCCTTGTGTTGAAATTATGACTGTTACTAGACAGAAATTGATTAAACAAAACATTTGGCCTTTTATACACTAAAATCTTTCTGAAGAAAGAAAGCAGAGAAACAGTAATCCTCTCTTTCACCAATGACCAGCCGAATGTCATGTGCATTTCGTGGATGCTAGTTCTTCTATCACAGTTCAGTGCTCGTCTTGCAGCACCATTCTGAATTAGTTGTAATCTTTATAAATCTGTGCTTGATGCGCTTGACCACACAGCTGGACAGTAGTCCAAGTGAGTGAGTACTAATGTTTGATAACTCTGGAGATGCAGTACTGAGGTAGAAATTTAGCACATCTTTTTATTACTGCTAGACTTCTCTCCATAACTCCAACAGTTTTCTCAATCTGCTTTGACCACTTCAGTACTCTGTCTAATACCATACCAAGGAGTTTGACTTCTTCCACTTGTTCAATGGACACATCTTTAATTGATTGTTTAAGTGTGGTTTGTCTTTCAATTTAAAATTTGATCCAAAAACAATACTCTTTGTTTGAGATGAATTAAGAACAAGCTTAGTACGCCAAACCCAATTAACGACTGCTTATTCTGCTAGTTCCTTATCGAAAGCTCTTGACAAATCCTTCACTGATCTTGCTGGTAGGTTGTATCATCTGCGTCCATAACTACTGTAGCTTGATTTAAATCAAGAAAAAGGTCATTGCTGAATAAAGAGAAGAGTAGTGGCCCCAGGCAGCTTCCTTGTGGTACACCACATTGCAACTGTTTCATATTTGAGACATTTGAGACTAAATTTAATTCAAATTTGAGGGAGTTGTTACTTTTCATGAATTGTGCTATTCTTAACTCATTTGAGTGACATTAACTTACAGGTGGCATTCCCTGTCTTAGTTTTTCAACTCTATTCATGAAAAAAATTGTTTAGATAATTTGCAATTTCATGTGGTTTGGTGAGGCATTACTCACCTGAAATATATACATAACTCAATTCTTTTTCTTTTTAAGACTATATTACAGTTTGCAAGAGTTCATTAACTTTAAATGAGAATTACAATCAAAATACAGTATAAGCAACCATTTAAAAGTTAAAAAAAAAAATTCAATAAAATTGCAAAGAAAATGTATGCTACCCCAGTTCCATAAGAGCTGGGGTGGCATACATTTCCTCTACATACTAAATTGGCAATAGAGCAAAATGTACCTGAGGCCCTGTTTGTACTGCAGCTTTCAGCATTAACAGTGCCAATAAGTACTTGTGCATCTCTATAGCATCACAGATGCTGGTTTTTAAACAGTGCCCTGATAACAAGCCAAGAGGTCCCTGTCCTCTTCAGAAGTGAGGATTCAGTGTCCATGATTTCCAAAAAGAATATCAAATCCTGATTTGTTGGACCAAAAGAAAGTCTACCACCTTACCTGAGTTTATCCTAAATGGGCTCAAGCATTTCTGGATCATGTTTACAAATGGTTCCCTCTTGTAGAGATAAACTATGTTCACAAAGAAAAGTTTTTGAAAGTAATTTTACACTCATGCAGTGATTTCCACAACAAAGCCATGTCTGTGACGTCCTAAGGGCCATAAGACCACAGCTATCCATTATCAGTTATCAATGGTGTCCCTTTTTCAAGAGATTTCTCTCTCTGTTCTTCAATGATTTGTTGAGCTGTAGTTGAAAGTCTTAAATTCTTTGTAATTTCACACTTAAGAACAGAACTCTGAAATTACAAAACTATTTTCTCACCCAGTTTCCCACACAATGGTGAGCCTTCTCCCTCTGCCCTGTCCTCTGAGGAGATTTTGCCTCTCTGAAATGCTTTTTTTATATATCTAATCCTGAAAAAAAAGACATCACTTAACTTTTCAGTTTGTCCGTTCTGAAATGTATTGCTGTCATTTAACTATCTGATTTGTCTCAGCATTATTTGAAATTAAATTCAGGCTTGACCATCAAATTCTGTCACTCAGAAAATAGATTTGCAGTCTGTGTTACGAAATCAGTTTGCCGCATGAAATCTGTATTTCTTTCTTTTGTGACTTTAAGTGAAATGTGGGTGTTCAGGTGTGTTATTAGCAGTGTTGTCCAAGCTTTGGTTAAGTAGTGAAGCTGTGGTAAGATGGTGATAAAGTTGTAGGTTTAGTTAATATTGCTGTATGTGTTTTGTGTGTTCTGACATTTTGAACTGCTACATTGAGTGTTATCGAATGAATGCATCTGTTGTTAAAGCTGCCATTATCGCCTTACCTTGACTGTTTGTTTACCAACTAATGAGGCAAAAACAATAAAAAATAATCTTCTACTTTATTGAAAAATGCTTTTTCAAAACAGTAGAGGAGGTGTGAGAAATCATAGCAGGATGCAGGATCACAGAAACTGCTTTTTTTAGACCAAGCGAGGTTGCCCTCTAGAGGTAAGCACACTACAAAGGAAACATGTCACTCTTGAACTAAAGGCCCTAAATCAAAGTTTTAATCTTTTTTTGACATTTAAATTAACCCAATTAAGTTCTAAAAGCATGTTAGCTAAGTTTCTCGAGGGTGCCTTCACACTGAAATGTGTCTCTGCAGGAAAAGGTTTGCTAAATGTCAAATTTATTTTAACAGTTCAGAAATCTATACACCTCTCCCTCACTCTGCCCTCACTCTGGGACGATGTCTCCTATCCACTTGAGGTATGGCGGGTTGCCCTGGTCGATAGGCAGGCTGATGACCTCGGCCACCTCGTAGGGATGTTTAGAGCTGCCAAGGACAATGAGTTGTTATGAGTGAGTTGAGTGCACAGTGCACCCAAGCAGCAGCAGCAGCAGTAGTAGTTAATGCCGTCCTCTTTGACGGTATGAGTCACAGCAGATAATGGGGGGAATGATCAGCACAGTGTTCCTGCTATAGCTACAATGGATGAAAAAACAGGCTTACCGAACATACTCCGCAAGAGCAGGCACCTTGGAGCTTCGGGTTTTAATCATCTAACAGAAAGACAAGTAGTCAGACTGGTTCTTTTCCACAATTAATGAGAAATGACACTTTCAATAACTGAACACCAACAAAAGTTGAACAATAGCACAGCTACTCGGGGAAGAAATATCAGCTGATGACTAAAATAACATGAAAAACAAATTAATTACACAAAGTGTCAAGTAAGAGGAGGAATGTCCATTGACAGGAAACACTTTTTCTAAGAGTCTCATGTATATAGCATTCCTAGTAAACTGATTATTGGCCTCAGGTGACAATCAGAGCCTATTGATGTTTCAATTTACAGATGGCTGATAAAATTAATGATTTAAAAAGTGGTCTACTTGGGCTCCACAACCTAGCGGTCTCTCCCTGCAGGTCTATTTTCAGTTTCCCCTCTTTCTGCCCCCCCCCCCACAGCACTATCTGTATAAGATGTTGAAAGTTTCATTCTGAGCTAAGTCTCATATTGGAGTTTATAGTATCCCAAATTTGTATATTTTGACAGAAAGTTCACCATTTTTGCTGTAAACGCATGTGTCTCAAGACTTTGTTAAACATGTTGAGACTTCTAACTGGCTGCCATTACCCTTTCCTGTTCCTCTTGTTGACTACCAACAAGTGAGGACTACTGGTGCTTTGTTATCCACAGAAGTATTTGACCCTTTAGGATAAGTGACCCCAGTTTACTCCCTATTGCAGAGACAGTATTGATGCATTTATAGTCAATATTTAAAAGCCCAAAACATGAAAATATGGAGTCAAAACTCACCAGCAGTACCTCACTGTCTTCTTCTATCTTCCCCTGCCATTCATACCTGTACAAACAAAGAAGAAAATAAGATACTTTGGGCTTTTCTTCAAACCTAAGAGTATAAATGTGAATATCTTAGACTCCTCAGTCTAGTATTACACCAAATAAAACTTGTATCCAGACTTACACAGATGTTATTGCTGGGACAATGTTGACACAGGCTGCTAGCTTTTTTTCCACAATGCCCCTGTGGGGTAAAGGATAAATCACATATTCTGCTTAATAGCTGCATTTTCCATTTAAGAGGGGATTTGCCTGTTTTTATCACCTGGCCAGTTCTTTAGCCACTGTGTCATTAGGGCAGGTGACAAAGGCGGCAGAGTGCGTGCCCGATGTGTATGTCTCAGACGCCATGGAAAAGGCCCTCAGTCCAACAGTCCGCAGCAGCTGGAACATAAACACACTCAGGAGCACAGTCTGTCAGAGGAAAAGACAGAGATGTTATGCAGTTTACTTCATGGTGGTTACATCTAACATTTCAGAAGGAAGCTTCAGTTGCATGAAAAGGTTTCACTATGGTTGTTGATTCAAAAGTGAGACTTCCATATATTCTGAAATCATTGTAAAGTCAAAAATATTACGAGACTTTTTTGTTTGTTTTTTTTAAGCTTGGTTATTACCGCTTCCAGCTCACGAAAATCAAAAATCCACCATCTCAACATGCTGGAATATTGTAGGAAGGGTCTTGTTCCTGATGTTTAGCTACCTCTGAACCAGAGACAGTGTCCTAAGAGTCTCACCTGGGCTACAAAGAAAAATAATTTGACTATTGCTCAATGGTGTTCAAAGTCCTGTTTTCATTTTGTATCTCAATTGGAAATCAAGGTCCTAAAGTCTGGAGGAAGACCAGAGAGGCCCAGAGTCCAAGGTGCCTGAAGTCCAGTCCATAGTTAATGTAGCCTAAAGTCTATCATGAGTTTTTAAAATTACTTCATCCCAAGAGCAATACAGATTTCCTTTTCCAGCAGGACATGGCATTTGCCAACATCATCAAAAATAACATAAACTGGTTTGCCAATCGTGGGATTACTGTGCCTGATTCACCAGCCAACTTGCCTGACCTGAACCCCATCAAGGATCTCTAGAAGCTGAAGGAGCTCTAAAAGAGATCCAAACTTCAGTAACACCTGAGCAAAGACACGACTGATTGTTTCACTGTATTCCTGATGTATTCTGCTGTTATGAGAGAGATTTTTTTTAATCTTGTGAGCTATAAGCCTTAAGATTCAAACAAAAAAGCCTTGAAATATTGAACTTTGCAGGTTAAGAATTTACACTATATAAAAATGTCACTTCTGTGATAAAATTAATTTAAAAAAAAAACTTTCTCGAGACATTTGAGGTGCATTTCTTTGCAGTGACATAAACAGTTCTTTCCAGACCAACAGTGGTTGATCTCCCACTATTTACTAGGTGCAGTTAGTATATTTACACAGCAAACAGTGCCATTGTTTCCTGAAATGCACATGTGCAAATGTCCTTATATGCAAATGTACACTTCGATCAACACGTAAGCTGAACTCTAAACCACTCACCAGGACTAAAGCTCTGAAGGATCCACCTCTCTGTGTGTCTGAACTCGGCAGTCCAATGCGCATGCCTACGCGAGCAAAAGACAGCTTCAGCCAGCCTGTATATTCAAACAATCCTGTCTGCATTTAAAAGTCTGATGTACACAGAAAACTGGATGGTATAAAGTGATGTTTTTTCGGTTTTAGGCACTTGTACACAGTCAACTGCTCGTAGATAAACGAGATATCAGGAATTCTCGGCGTATTCACGTGATTATTCTACACTATTTAGACTGTTACACACACCAAGCAGCCTTTAAGAACGATAATGATGCAAATGTGACGAACCAAGTCATTGCAGCTGTTAGTTTCTGATGTTTTGATGCTTGCAGAGGGGGAGTGTCCGGTTAGCTTTAGCTTTAGTTAGCATGCCAGCAGAAACTTTAGCAGTAGTAAGTCGGGGTCTAAACTAACGCCAGACACTGAAAGACTTGCAACAGATGTCAGATAATGTGGTGAAGTTGAACAGTAAAGTGCTGCCATAACATGTGATATTTAGTGTTACCTTCTGACAGTGTCCTGTCCAGAGGATCTGCTCAATGTGCGCCACGCTCAACCGTAAAGCGTGACGGCTGTGTGTTTATGGGACTGTCGCAAATCAGCATCTGGCTTGTTACAAGTGGTGTGATTGCGTTCACTCAAGGAATGAAATTATTTGTCTAACTTAACGAGAAAATCATGTTAAAATTACGAGATAACTTTATTGTAAAGTGGGTATTTTCCGCTGTTTTTTTCTGAATGAATGAGGTAATTATCTCATCACCTCATAAAAAGAAAAGGGCAGATTTTTCCCCTTTCCCTATGATTCTAAGATAATTACCCTGTCAATTCGGTAAAAAAAAAAAAAAAAGAAAAGAAAAGAAAACCAGATTTTCTTCTACAGTAAATGCAATATCCCTCCCGTAGTAGAAAAAAAGAAATGACCACAATATCCGAATGGGGCCTAGGGAACATCACTGCTCAGACTATCAACCATCTCTAAATTCAGTAAGATTTGAGCAAAAAACAGTAACAGATACAAATAAAACCAAAATACAAAATCTCCCCACTAGCTCTCATTTAGGGGAGACCGGGGCTTGTTGTCACACTTTTTACACTCGTATATTTCTTGCAATCAATACACCATATATAAGCAAAATCAGGTATATATTTCGTATTCAGGTAATTTTCATATCTTGAGTCAGTGCAGAGTTATAGGCAATCAAAGAGAGAGTGTGAAAATGTGACATGTTGCCCCACCATTGGGTAAGTTGTCTCACTACATGTGGTAAGATGTCACAGTGGATTTTGCAGCTAATAAAACATGGACAAAATTTTTGTTGTTCTCATTTTTTTATTTGAAAGTGAACATCAAAGTCTCTGGAGTTTGGAGAGCTGTCTGACTCTGTATTTTGGCTGGGGTGAATGTTTTTGCAATACCGAGCCAAGGTATGGTAGTTGACATTTAAGTCCTTTATTGTCCTCCAGATTGATTTATTAGCTAAAGTCACCTGTCTGACTGTCTTCAGCATCACATCAGGTACTGCACTGCCACGTTCTGTTTTTCTTTTGTAATTCCTGACCATGTCTTCTCACTTTCTCCTCTCCTTTAAACCACTCTTTTCTCTGTAAAAATAAAAAGTCAAAATTTCAGTATGACAACTGCTGATAATCAAACTCTCTGGGCTCTATTTTCGTTCGCGCCGGTGAGGCGGCGGAGGGTGGCGAGCCCCGCGCAGTTGTATTTTTGTGGGCCAAATTTATTTTATATGCCAACATCTATGAAAGAAAGAGCCAGGCCACGGAGCGCGATGCGTCATTTACGCACAGATGGTTCCGATTTTAATGCCGTTTTTGGAGTTTATGTTGTGATCTGTGCGCTAAACCCACCTTTGTCACGTGAGGTTTGAATATATGCAACTTTATGTGAGTGTCTTTATTTGTGGAAAAGGGTGTTTGTCTTACCAGTGGGTCCAACATTACACACACCAAATCCATCTGTGCTCAGATGAGAGAGTGTGGAGGACACTTGTTGAGCAGCTGCCCTCTGTCGCCATCGTGTGGCATAACTGTCTTCAGACATCTCATCTCCGCCGGTGGCGGATTTAAAGGCAAGGAGAGGAGCTTATGTGATTGGTGAAAACAGGTCTCGGCTGTGTTAAACACACTATACGCCCTTTCTCCTCCCCGTCTACGACTTATGCTGCCGGGAGGAGCTGAGTTAGGGAGGGGGGATATTTACGCCGGGCTGCGCGGCTCACCAAAATACCAAAATGTGCTTGGGAACGCCTTGTCAGCGCGGCGGATCTGATTGACGCTGCGCTTGCGGCACCTCTCCGGCGAGGCACCAAAATAGAGCCCTTTATGTTAATTTTAATCCCTTTTAAACATGTGACAACTAACCCCAAAATGACTGAGACATGTTGCCTCAAACTACCATTTTTGCTAATTAGAGCTCTACCTTAAATTTATCTTAAAACAGAACAATGACTGAGGTATGACAGGATGCCTTAATCTCTCCTCTAACAAGTCCATATGTATCACTGCTTGGATTTTTATCTGGAAGAAGCTTATTTTAACCCTTTGATGCGCAACATGGGTCAAAAAAGACCTGGCTGAGTTTAAATTTTATATATCTTTTCAAAAAATTAATTCCATCAGTCGGTACTCAAGGAATTCCTCAATTAACTTGTTTTTGACGACCCTACATCCTTATGTTAATTTTTCTTTTTTTACTTTTAGAATAAAAACCGTTTTTGTATCACTACCCCTCTAATGCACAACATGGGTCTAAAATGACCCGTATCCATTTTCAATGTTATTTCATGTATGGCTGAGTGTTTCTATGGTATATCTTTGAAATAAATTAATTTTATGATTTACTATCCCAAGTATGCAGTAAAGATCTTGTTTTAGTTGAGCACAAATAATCATTTTTATTTTTTCTTTCTTATGTTATGAGGAAGCACAGATTTTGTATTTCTACATCAAGTTTACATACATGGGTCAGAAACGACCCACATACAGTGACTGTAGCATTTAGCATGAAAAGACCGTCTAATACATGTATGGTTTTTCAATTGTTCTGACATTATCTTCGAAATTATTTGATGACAATTGTGAAATAAAATTGTACATAGATTTGATTTGATTAGGTTTAGGTTACTTTGAGAGTGAGGACATTACATGTTGGAAAGTTACACAGTTACAGGTAAAACAGCTAGCATTATTTCAGCTAGCTATAATCAGACGCATGTGTATGTGACAAAATGACAAATAAACATGTTGCTGATACAAAATACAAAAGTGTTTGGCCCATAGACTAGAATGGAAAGCGTCTGCCTCCTTGCTGAGTGAAGCCGAGAACAGCACCCCCTGTTTACCTCCGCCAGCAAACCTTATGGAGCTGTGGACAAACTTTAGAAATTAAATACACAGAACATAAATTTTTCTCCCCCCTGCTTGTGATGTTGACATGTAGTTATTTTAAGACTGGTTTGTGCTCAAGTCCTCTTTTTTCTGTACAGCTCTGTTTTTAAAAGTTATTTGGGGTTTCATGTTTTCTATGATTGATACCTGCCATAGACTGTATAAAGAATGGACAGAGTCTGCCTCCTCACTGGTCGAAGCCACTCCGAGAACAGCACCCTCTGTTGATGGGCTGCAGTATAGGTCATAAATCCCGCCTCCGCCAGCAAAGATTATGGAGCTGTGGACTAACTTAAAAAATTTATTACACAGAACATACATTTTTATCCCTCCTGATTGTGATGTTGACATGTAGTTACAGTAAGACTGGTTTGTGCCCAAGTCCTCTTTTTTTCTGTGTAGCTCCATTTTTAAAAGTTATTAGGGGGTTCATGTTTGCTGTGATTGACACTTGATACAGCCTATGGGCGTTCAGGGATTGCGTAGCTCTCCCGAGGGATACGCTGTTTGAGCCGAGTGTCATCACAGCGACTCTCTTCAACTGTTCCTGAAACCAGGTTTCAGGAAATGAAGAAAAATCCTGGAAATATCGAGAGCTATTTTGCTTCAAATCTGTATACAGGCAGTAGGCGGAACAAAGTTGTCCATAGTATATACAGTCTATGGATACAGCCTATTGGCGTTCAGGGATTGCGTAGCTCTCCCGGGGGGATACGCTGTTTGAGCCAAGCGTCATCACAGCGAATCTCTGCGACTGCGCAGGTGAATGCACGCATCGCAACTGCGCAGCTCTGGTTTCAGAAATGTAGAAAAGTCCCGGAAATACCGAGAGCTTTTTGGCTCCAAATCCGTGTACAGGCGGTAGGCGGAACCAAGTTGTCCATGGTATATACAGTCTATGGTTTGGCCCCACTCACTGCTAATTTCATTACTTGAAACAAATTATTAATATAGTGTTAGGTAATTCAATATTAAATCACACTTGGATGAATGGGTCGTTTTTGACCCATGTGTGTAAACTTGATGTAATAATATAGAAACTATATTATTTCATAAAGTATGAAAAGAAAAATAGAAATAATGATCAGTGGTGATCAAAAACAAGATATTTAAAGAATACTTGGAATATTCAATCAGAAAATAAATTTATTTCAAAAGATAGAACAAAGAAAAACTCAGCCAGCATGAAATACCATTTGAAATGAATGCGGGTCTTTTTAGACCCATGTCGCGCATTAGAGGGGGGGTGGATATGTTGGGCATCAAAGGGTTAAAATATATAAAGTTGAATTTTTTTACTTTGGGTTGTGTGAAATGGTTAATTGGCACTCATCTCAGCTCACAATGGCCCTCATTTATCAAGCTTGCGCAGATCTGAGTGCACATCTGAGCGCAGGATTCATCCTACAATAGGACACACGTGAGATTTATGAAAGGGTTCGTATCCGACCAATCCCAGCGTACGTATGATCGGGTCTTGGTAAATGCAGCGGCTGAAATCGATCGTCATTAACATGTTTACGCCCTTTTTCGTGGTTCAGAAGCCTCGCCCACTGAGGTCAAACATGAAAGAGGAGAAATATTACAAAGATTAGAAACTTTTCTGAGCTGAAAGTGGATATCCTTGTGTCTGTGGTGGTAACAAACAAGGATTTTCTCTTTGGAAGCATCAAAACTGGTATAAAAGCAGTCCAGAAAACTCCTGTCTGGATCAGGATTATGGAGGCGCTGAACAGCGCCGGAATAGTGGACAGTGGCTGAAGTTTGAATAAATCATTTGTCAATAAGTTGCTCATGATGATAAATTAATATCTCTTACATGCCTCATATTTTTTATTGACATGAAATAGGGTGCGCTGCTCCTATTATTGAAAGTATTTATTTTTAATTTGTTGCGTCTTTGTAATGTAGAGCAGACTGGAGAGCCTGACAGAGGCTGAACAAAAATAATTATTAACCTCACCTAACGGTGTGTTGCTGCCCCTGAGGCACATTTTTATGGATTTCTATTGGATTTTTATCACTGATTAAATAGCAAGAGCACTTTCTAAACTGATACTTTACATGTCAGAATCCATCAATAAGGTCCTGTCTCCTCTGTACAGCACCTTTGTGGAGTCTCTCCTTGTTATTGTTCTCCGGGCATCGGGTCCTCACGTTGCACTGGCA